TCTCCAGTCACATGGGGATTAGCACCTCCTTTCCTCTTTTAGAGGGGGTATCTCCTTAAGTTTTCTGATTCACTGCACTGACCTCTTGCATACTATTACTAAAGAGCTTATTTCCTGTTAAACAGAAGAGCAGCAACATGACGGTCATTCTTTTGGACAAGTCTAGCTCTACTTGTATTGTAGGCTCCATGACTGCAGTCTATCAACTTGTCAAACAAGCAACTCTGTTCCAGTATTTTTAAATGCATTCTAGAGTAGTAGAAACCCAATTGGACTAAACACTGCAATCCAGCCACATTTAGCTCATTAAATAAACCATAAAAATTAGCAGTAGTCAACATATAAAAGTTCTTCTAAAGGCCTCATTCTCATACCAGCGTTATTTCCATGCTAGCAACAGTAATGGTGCTCTAGATCACATCAGCCTTTGAGGTGACTAATGACAGCTACTTGCTGCTTATAAAAAAAACAAAAACAAAAACATAAGAATGGTCCTTTTCTCTTTCAGGTAAGGGGACTAAGCAACACAGGATTTAAGGTTAATCAGATTCTCTGTATAATCTACAGCAGAAATCTCTTATTTGTGCCTATTTCTATTAACTGCTAGAACAATACACAGCCCTCCAAGTTCTTGCATTGTCTCCTCCACACCATGGAGTTAAGATTCCCTATTTTCATGTAATATTTTTTTCTTCTCTGGAGAGATGGTAGAATCCTTTATGGTGTTAATATTTTAGTTTCCCTTTGGAAAAGAAACAACGCCAAAAGACAAACATCACTAAAGTGATTAAGAAGCCCCACAGGCTTAGTCAGTTATGTTTTAATTATGCTTGCTACAGACTTGCACACCCACTGTTTTTGGCTTGGGAGCTGGACTCCTGCTACCTTAGCTCTCTCTCCTCCTGAATACACCTTAAGGTACTACCAGAAGGTAACAGTGTTCTCACTCTAAGGAGAGCATAACAGACAAGTTAATGGCTCAGATTCATCTCTGACAGGCTAGTGATTCCTGTTGCTTTGTTCTCCTGCTCCCTCCTTGTGCTTCTGCCTAAGCATAAACAAGCTGCTCAGCAGCAGTGATTATGCTATACAGCCCAAAAGATACAATACCGTGTGCCTACAGTCACAGTGTATTTCAAGGGAAAGATTCAAAAAGACAGAAAATAGAGCAGCAGCAGCTCAGGAGGCTGCAATGGAACTATAAAAGAATAGCTGTTAAAATAGAATGAGGGGAACAGAGAAATCCCTTCCAAACAGGAGAGTGCCAAAAGGAAGAACCAAAGATATGGTGTTCTCACTTTCTCTGACATATACTTCAAGCATTATCTACCAAAGTTAATCAGTTAGATATATACACATACAGAAAGCCACGCAGTTCCTTGATATTCAAAGTAATAAATACATGTGACTTAAACAGCGCATGGATCTTACTATCCAAGTGCTACAGTTCTCAAGTGAACTTATGAGCATCTCCATTTTATGCAGGTCAAATTGAACACATGGATGGAAAATGAGCAAGATAAACTCTACAATTTCAGGCAAACAGCAGATTCTAGCAATCTCTTCTACTTGAAACAAATGAATGAAGCTTTCCCTATGGGAGTGACGTTTCCTTTTCCCATTTATGTTTCTTTTAACTTCTCTGAATCCACCTCACTTTCTTGCTGGGAAGCATCTCCCCACAGCTTGCCTCACCCCCAGCTCCAAGTTTGTAATGACAAGGGCAAACAGTGCAGTCATGCCTGTAGCCATCTCCAACAACCCTGCTGGAAGGGGAAGCAGAGGGAACAAAACAAAACAGCACCTGCGACTTATTAACATGAAAGTTTCATAAATAGACAATATACGTGGGAAAACAGAAGCCTTGTATCTTAAACAATATTTTTAAGGAGAAATCTTTTCTGCTGCAATTATCTACCTGATCCTGGAAAATGAGAAACAAGGACCCATGAGAACAACTGATTCTTTTAGCAGAACAGATAGATAGAAGACTCAAGTTAATAAGAGCAGCGCTGCTTTTTTGCCTTCTTCAATTTCAAGAAGAAAACGCACTGTGCTAGGAAGGTGAAGATAAAGGAAGAAATTTTAGTGCCAGTTCTGCATACCAGAGGAGGCCAAGCAATGGCACTATCACATTACTCCAGGCAAAGCTATCCTGCCACCTCCCACACAAAAACTGATCATTAGTTAAGTTTTTACAAATAGATGAGCACAATTCTAAAGGCTGCATTGTAGTTTTCTCCTTAGCCTACCACCCAGCCCTCCAGCAGATGGTCTCTGCACACTAAACAGTTCCTCAGTCCATGCCAGAGACATGCCCTCACACAGAACGTGTTACAACGTTTGTGCCATCTGAGCCTGTTCAGGAGAGAGGTGCAGAGATTCAAGAAGCAATAAACATCAGTGCCAAATGGGAAGGAGCACTACCCCAGTGGAAGAATGCTACAGGAAACTAGAACTGTAGGAAGAAAAAATGCCAGAGCCATTAAAAACTTTAAAAGGAAGAGTAAGAAAGCATCTCCATTTACAATATTAAAAATTAGTAAGCAGTCCATAAGCAACTAAGTAGTGAGAGTACTCTTCATCTTTAAGCAAAATTTAGTTTGCTTCATTTCTATCCTTACTTTTTGTTGTTGTTACTGAAATCCTGAAAGGGATCCTCCTTTCTCCTCACCTACTTCAGGTTTCTACTGAAGTGAGCATGCATCATGCAAAAGAGATTTTATTTCAAAATAAGGATTTCTATGAAATGCGAAGTATTATATCTGAACTACTTGAAAGAGACCCCCAAGCTTTCCAATAGAGAGTTCTACTGTCAGTTGATGTCAAACCATTGCCTGCCTCCTCACAAAGGATAACATATCCTTTCAAATCTGCTAACATGTTATTCTCAATGACTTTAAGGTCAGCAATATCTTGACCTGTATTTATTTCAGCAGCTCTTCTATTTTTGTTGTGGCTATAGATCATGATTGCTAACAAGTCAAACATTGCCAAGAGTATGGAGATGAGCTAGACATCCATCTCAACTTGGCATAGGACAGGACAGGAAAAGAGTATCTATTCATCTGCCGCAAATTGGGACTTTCCAGCTTGTGAATCATAAAATGCACACAGTGAGCCCATAGGGCTGTACAGAACAATAGCCCTAGAACAATATATTTGAAGTGGTTTCATAATTCAGATTAAATTTGCTAGAAGGCTATTAAGCAATTATCTTTCCTCTGCACGCATCTGAATTTCATTATCTACAGTGTATGTGATTACTGCTAATGTGGTTCTTTCTGTCGTTGGTCCGCCCCTCAGTTCTTCTCTGATAGTTTTCAGCACTACCTAAAGATTCTCTAAGACCGCTTTAAAGGTTTCTGTCCCTTGTATCACGTTTTGAATGCTGCGTCACAGTTGTTAACAAGTTCTCGGCTTGTAGAAACAACAAATGCAGGAAACTGAAAGACAGATACGCTACGCCTTCAGACAGACGCAGACCTGAACGTTTCTCCAGAAAATTCCGAGTTTCATCACTTGAAAGTATATGACCGTTGTGGGAACGAGCGGAGTTCCTAGCAACGAATATGGATAAAGACAAAAGAAAAAAAAAAAAAGACAAAAAAAACCGAGCAGCGCGCTCAAGGGCATCCTTTGACTGCGTGCACGGAACGCTTCCTACGCGGCCTGATGCTTCTCCGGCTTTTGGGAGCAGCACACGCTCGCAGCCGAGCGCAGAGCGGATGCGGTTCCCGGGCGCCGGGAAGGCAGGCGGGCTGCGGCAGCGAGCCCTTTGTTCCGGGCATCCCGCGGGCTCAGCGCTGCGGCTCCGGCTGCTCGGTGCGGGAGAGCGGCGGCCGGCAGCCCCTCACGCGGCCTCTCCCGGCCCCGGCGCAGCGGAACGCGGGGCGAACGGCCGCTCCGACCCCCCTCCCCCCCGACGCGGCGGACGACCGAGTCACCTCCCCTGCCGGGCGCGGGGAAGGGGAGCCCCGGCGGGGTGGGACGAGTCGGATCGCGGCCCGCGATGCCTCACCGAGCCCGGCCAGCCGCTCCACCAGCCCCGCGGCGCGGAGAGTAGCGGGGCCGTGGTCCACTCCGCGCCGTTTCTGTCAGACAAAGAAAAAAGGAGCGTTAGCGAGCGCCGCCCGGCTGCGGCCCCCCGGCCCGGCCCGGCCCGGCGCCCACCTGTCCCCTGGAGAACGGGGCGCCCACCAGCGCCACCGAGTGCGCCCGCCGGGGCAGCCGCAGCCCCAACCCCGCGTCCGCCCGCTTGCGGAGGAGCCGCGCGAAGCCGCCGCGCAGAGCCATGGCGCAGATGACACCGAGCCGGCGGATGATGCCCACCGCCGCCGCGCCGCTCCTTTTAGCCGGCTCCAGCTCCGCGCGCGCCGCCGGGCCCCGCCCCCGCCCGCACACCCCCGGGCCGCCCGGCCAATGGCGGCGCGCGCGCGCGGAGGTGTGTCCCGCCCACAGAGCGCAGCGGGGCCTTCGCGCGACGCGGGCGGGCGGCGGCTCCTCCTCGCGCTGTCGCGGCGCTGGGGTTTTTCCACTCCCGCAGCGGGGGGCTCGCGCACCTGCCCCGGGCGCCGTGCTCCGGCCCGAGGCGCGGCGTGGGGGCGTGGCGACCTAAGAGCGGGAGCCGGCACTCGCGTACTGCCGAAGCTCGCACGGACGGGCTCGAGTTCCTACGCGCAAACGCACGTGCCTTGAGAAGGGCCGAACGAGCGGCGGTGGCGCGGGGCGATGGCGCGGGGCAGCTGCCCGCCTCTCACCGAGGGGTCGCCGCCGCCCGCCGGGAGCTCGCCCCGCTCCTCGCCTCGCACGGCGCCAGCTCCTGCCCCGCCCAGCCGCTCGGCCGTCACTCTTAGCACCTGCTCTCCTCGTGAAAACGCGCAGCCCCCCCTAACGCTGGCATCCCGCTTTCAGCCTACAGGCCGTTCTTCCCACCGGTTTTACTCTCAGCCCTTCGGCCCCCGTTGCCGCCGCTCGTTTGTTTACACGCGGCACTCACGCAGGGGCTCTGCAGCAGCTACGAATGCAGGCAGTTGCCTACGGAAAGTTGGTACCGGAGGGGGGCAAGCAGGGGGAAACGCCCGCCCCGCTCCGTCACGGCGAGAGGCACGCAGGAGAACAACGCAACCGCAGCCCTAAGAGCCCGGCCGGCTCACAGCCTCCCGCGGCCCCGCGCACGCGCCGCCCGCCCCTTCCCTTCTCAGCGGAAGCGGGGCGCCGTGCGCATGGAGGAGCGGCGCTACCGCTCGGCGTCGGGGGCGCCGCTGGCGCTGCGGTGCCGGCAGCACAGCGCTTCCTGCCGGGAGCTGGCGGTGCGCTGCCCCCGCCTGCAGCTCCGCTCGCTCAGCGCCGTCACCTCCGCCGTCTGGCTGGCGGCCTACGGGCTCTTCGTGCTCTGCCAGGTACCCCCGCCCCGCCCCGCCCCGCTCGGCTCCTCGCGGGGACCCCGGCGGAGAAGGGCGGCGGGCGCCGCCAGGCGGGCCCTGCGCGTCGCTGCGCTCGGGTCCCGGAGGGCGCCTGCTGGGCCCTGCGAGGCGGCGCCGAGCAAATCCGGGCCTTCGCGGGTACGAGCGAGCCGCGCCGTGCCCCGCGGGAGCTGCGGCCGCACTGCGGCTGGTGCGCTTCAGTTTTGGTCTCAGCGGTCTTTTCCATGGAACGAAGGCGGGAGTCAATTGGCAGTGGTTCGCTATGCGGTCGCTACCTCCCGCTGTCGTCCAACTCGGTTTTACATATGCTCATGCGGCCCGTGTGTGGCTGCGGTCGTTCCTTTCTGCCAGCAAACCGGGTCTGAATGCCTGTCTTCGTGGATTTCAGTGCCTGTAACTCATGACTGCCTTTCCGTGATAACGAACTGTGGGAAGAGCTCTGTTTCCATTCTCTTTGTATGTTGCCACGGCTTCTTTACCTCACATGGTGGTAGAGTCTACTGTGTGCTGCTTGCATGGCAGAGCTGTGCCGTTCTGGGAAAGCCTTGCAGTTCCAGCCCTTAGAAAGTATTAGGTGTAACTCGGGCTGATGAGCTGTGTGGCCTGGAACTCTCTGAAACATATCCCAGAAAGCAGCTGTAGGTTGAAGACCTTCAGGCTTCATTACCAGATCCTTTGTTGATGCTGCTGGTTTACTGAGAAAAGATGACTTCTAGAACATATATTTGTAAACTTATGTATTGTTTTATGTAGCAACAAGCCCAAGGTTGCAGCCTGCAAAAGACAGTTTGTCTTCAGGGGAAGCACAGGAGGAAGCAGACGAGCTTGATGTTTAGGGCAAGAAGAGAGACAGAGTTTGAGTTTAGACTTCCCATGGTAAGAAGAAAACTTGACTCTCCTAAGTAGGCCCAGGCCAATGGTTTTTGCTGAAAGATTTTTCTTTGAATCACCAAGCTCAGTTCAAGGAAACATTTAACATTTCTCTATCCCTACAGATACCTGTACGATATACTGTCACTGATGTAAAGTTACTCCAGTAACTTAAGGAAATACAATGTTCTTGCTGATTTCAGTTTCAGTCATTCTTTCAGACCATCCTATGAAGGGTGATGTTTGGTGACTTAAATCCATCATGCACATATCAGCCAGCCTTTTGAATGAATGGACTCCACCTATGTAAAATCACCTTGTAAATGTAGCCATTGTATTATGACTAACCGTTCAGTATTTACTTATGTACTGGTCTGTGTTCAATTAGTGTTAAGACTAGAGCCCTGTCTTTGCTTGGTTTGTGTTACAGAATAGTATGGTGCTTTCTGCTGCTATATTCCTCACGCTGATCGGCCTGATCATCTACCTGCACTTTGTGAAAATTGACCAGGAATCCCTTCTGGTCATTGGCTCACTTGGCATTCAGATGACTTCATCCTATGCTTCAGGGAAGGAGAGCACAACCTTCATTGAGATGAGCCGAGTGAAGGATGTGGTTATCAATGAAGCCATCCATATGGTAATCATATTGTCTTTCTTGTATATCTGTATTTTCACAGGAGTGGTTTAGCAGTGCAGTTGAACACAGCAGCATAAATACAAATATGTAGACTTGACTGTGCTGTGGAGTGACTGGGAGATGGCTGACATACTGCACCAAGCTGCTTGCATCCAGGGGAGTAGTGATACGTCTTTAAAGTGACACCCATAAATCCAACACGTTAATGTACCTGAGTCTGAAGTTGTCTTCTGCTAGACTTGCCCAAAAGAGAGTTGTTTTGCCTCTGGGCGAGACTTGGAGATTTGCATAGATCTGTATAAAGTTTTCTAGCAAAAGGAAACAAAGGTTTCTCATTATATGCAAGGAGGCAGAAAAGCCTTTGCACTTACTTGTCAGTTTTATGTAAGACTTGATGAGCTGTGCCACCATCACTGTTGAGTTCAAACAGTTACGGAGAACTGAGGTTGTACACATTGTCACTGATGTGTGTGATATAATCATAGATGAAAACAAATTCTTAGTAAGTCCCCACAATCTTCAACATGGTCCAGCATTGTGTAACTTCTTAGAAAGGCAAAACAGGTAATTAGTAAAATGGCCTGCATCAAAAAAAGCGTAAGGGAAAGGCATTGTCAGCAGTAATGTTTAAATCCTGTGCTGCTTGTTGTTGTTTTTTTTCCTCTGTTTTTTGTTGTTACTGTGTTTAGTAATATCTTGAACTTCAGTAACTCGAGTAGGCTTGGGTGAAGAATGGCTTTACAGAAAGAATGGGTTTTCTGAAAATCCACCTGCTACCTTTTCAACTCGAAATGAGAAGTTCATGGAGCAAAACCATCCTGATATTTTTTAAACAAACAGGAAAAAAGAGAAAGGGACTGATTTCATGCTGCTTTATTCATAACCTTGTTGCAAGAATATTTACCCTCTTGAAATGCTGATGTTTCTGCTGATTTATCTTTAGAAAATGTCACACACTTTGTTCAGCCCAATGAGTTGAAGCAATTCCTCTTTCTGTGATGACTCCAGGCACTTTGATAGCATTTTCAAACTTCAATTATTTGGTCTGTTTGTCTTGTAGCAAAAAGTTATCTATTACCTGTGCATCCTCCTGTGCGACCCTCAGGATCCTCAGGGAGTATCTGAGGTTGTTCCACTCTTTCAGGTGAGTGTGGCTGAACAGTGGGGCAGTACAAAGCTGTGTTTTGTGTGTGTGTCAGATGCCTCAGCATACCTTTGTTCCGCCACACGTGGAACAAAGAATTACAGCTGCCTTTCTCCGGCTGCACATTCAAGTTGGATCTTACAGCAGTATGCTGTGAGCAATACTCACGTCTCACGGAATTAAGTACCAGTGAAGTTTTGTTCGTTTGTCCTCTATGCTGAGAATAGGGCACTGTGTAAATTTGAACCTGACCAGTAGATTGCATGAACTAGAAGTCTTTGGATCACGGAGGGTAATGAGGACTTGCACAGCTTTCTGTGTAATCTCATGCTCAGTGTTACCTTCCTAATTATATTGCCATAGTTCATTTTTCTTTCAGCAATCTGTACCAAAAAGATTTCATAAAAATCTCTTTGGCTTACAATGGTAGCTTCCCCTACAACTGCTGACAAAGATCACAGTACAAGCTGTGAGCAATTTGCTTAATGTATAATAACTTGTTTGTTTTACTCACACCCTGTCTATCTCGTACCCTGCTTTACTCATACTGTGTCCTTTCTCTTCTCTTGCTAACCTGTTGTGGCTGTTCATAATCCCGTTTTGGGGATGGAATTTCTTTCTCTCTGAATACCCTGATCCTTGAGTGTCAGTAAGCAGTACAGATGTACCTCATATTCTAGACTGCTGATGTTGTGTTTATCTTCCTCTCTGTTCACCAACTGCTTGTGAATATCATTTTGTAGTCACATGCAATTTATGACTGGATATAGTTAAGTCTTCAGCTAAATACTTAGAGGAATAGGTGCACTAATCCATAGATATTTACAACTGACTTAGTCCCAAAATTGTGAAGACGTTTACTAACAGTAATATAAATTAGGTATTTCATGTATGTCCAAGGAATTCACAACTAGTATTCCAGACGGCTGCACTCAGGATTTGTGTTACTTTCCAGCTTTCTGGCATCAGTGTGTTAGGCTTTTATTTCCTGTTTTCTTTTTCTTTTTTTTTTTTTCCTTCTTAACTCAAGTCTGAACAGTCTTATTTCTATGGAAATATCTTAATATTGGCAGTGTTGATTCCACCAGCAAAGGATTAACAGAAAGAGCTGTGTCTGTTTGCAGTTTGTTACCTGTCAGTAATTCTCACTTTAAAGTTACTTAGTTTTGAAGGAGCAGTAATTAGTAACTTTCTTGCATCTCCTTCAGTGGGTCTTTGCTCCTCTAAGGTATGTCAGCCCTCAGAAACACAACTTAGCATGTCACTGCACCCAGGAGCACTTCTGCGCTGAGTTGACCTATTGTTCTCTTTAGCAATGGTTGCAAGGAAAGGCATTAGATGGACTTTACACGGTAATGCTGTTTTGGGATCTCAACAGTCATGGGGCCATAGGGATCCCAGAACTGGGAGACTCACCTTCCTGCTGGTCCACGTTAGGAATGATGAAAAATCATTATTCTTTGACCACCATTCCTCTGTTAGTGTGAAATGAATTGATGCTTTCAGTTAACCTTCACTTGTCCTCTTGTTGACAGTAATAGCTGAAGCTAAGGGCCAAGCATGTAAGCTCCTTGTCCTGAAGGTCAGTTTTTTGGGGTGGAGGTCATTGAGGGAACATGGTTTCGCAGATAGGGTAATGGCTTGGAAGATGTGGATTTTCTTCTGTATTTTCACTGTACGTTGTGAGTTGAAAGGAGAGGATCTCTGATTTGGTGAGAGATTCAGGCTGACTGGAGAATGGTGCTGTGTGTTTTAACCTGACAGCTCTAGGGACTGGTGCTTTTCATCCCTGAGCTGATGCAGCTGATTCTTTTGTCACCAACTTACATTTAAAAACCTCCTGGAATTTGATGAATTCCTGATGAACATATAAAAAGGAAATCTATTCTCAGTTGACTTAATGTGAGATAGTAACTAGAGATATCTTACTGTTGCATTCCTTATACATGCATGCATCTAGCTATCAGCTTTGTGTCAGCTGCCTCCACATTCCTTTCTCTGTCCGACAAATCTCTTTTTTATAACTGGTTCAGAGTGTGATTCTCTGTTGTTTGACTTGACTTCTAGAGTTCCAAACCACGTCTGGACTGCTTGATAGAAGTATACAAAAGTTGTCATGAAATCTTGGATCAGAGGAAAACAGCTTCACAACCAGATGGAGTAAAATAATAAATAATGAAGATGGATAACTTGCAGCAGGACTTGGAGAGATGTATGGAAAAGCAAGCAAATCTGACCCATGGCTTTTTAAAATTAAATGTTTAGAATGTGATGCAGTTGTAATAATGACATTATAGCTAACAGCCCACACAGACTCGCAGAGCTGTTATAGAAGATGTCAGCTGAAGCACACAAGTGAACTTAGAAATTGACTGTTATGAAAACAGGTGAGCAACACTTTTTAAATGGACAGAAGGAGGTTTTTCCATGCATCTCTGGAAAAAGGTATGGCAAGGGGAGACAAAGAATATGCAGCAAATGTTTCTTCTTCCATGGATCCGAGAATTCTGATAAAAACAAATGGCAACCTTGGGAAGACAGAAAAAATACCCTAGGTTTTTGGTTTTTTCTTAAGTTTCTTTGTAATCCTTTCTTGAAAAGAGTATCAAAACAGAAGGGTGGGCTGGCTCAGTTTTCCTGATCCAATGGGGAATTTCAGATAGAGAATGACAGAAAATGAAAATATACTGTTTTGCTGAGAATACTTCAGATTCTTCAGCAGTCTGCTTGAAAGAGTCCCATGGTATGGTACCCTAGAGAGAAGATCAACACTCAGGAGACACCTCCTCCAGGCACATGAGTAGTCTATCCCAACAGGTAAAAAGTTGAGCAAAAATGGCAAGAGGCCTTTATGAATGAGCAATTTATTCCTGGCAAAATTCAAATGCCAAAAGGTAGAAATGAGGACAGGTAGCCTGGGATCAATATAGAGACTGTGTAAGCATGCAAGGTATGTGGTTAGGAAAGCTAAAGTCTATCTGGAATTGAATTTTTCTAGGGATGCCAAAGGCAACAGAAAGGCCTTCTGTGAGTACTTGAGTAACAAAATGGCAAAGAAAACATGAGGCCACCTCTGAATGGTGTAGAGGTGTGGTAACGCAAGATCTGAAAAAGAATGGGGTACTGAATGCCTTCATCATTTTAGTCTTTACTAGAAAGACTAGACTTCAGGAATCCTGGGCTGCAGATAGCAAGGGAAAGTTCTGGAGCAAGGGAGACCCTTGATGGAAGGTGATCAGGCTAGAAAATACTTAAGCAAATTGCATGTCTCTTAGTCCATGGAACCTGGTGGGATGCACCTACAAGTGTTGATGGATTTTGCTAATGACACAATCTCAGAGGAATGGCTGATATGCCAGAGACGTGTGCTGCCAGCCAGAGGGACCCAGACAGGTTGGAGAAGTGGGCATGCAGGATCCTCTTGTAGCTCAACAAAGGGTCCTAGAGACAAATTACTCTGTGCTGTTCCTTCCAGTACATATTGGTTCTCTTTCAGAAAAGGTCCTGGGGTCACAGTGGACACCAAGTTGAAAAGGTGCCAGCTGTGTGTCCTTAGTACAGAAAGGCTAAGAGTGTCCTGGGTTGCATGAGAGATGTATTGCTAGCAGTTCAAGGGAAGGGATCCTTCCCCCCTCCTCTGCACTGGTAGGACTGCACCTGAAGTGCTGCATCCATTTCTGGGCTCTCCAGTATGTGGACGTGTCTGGTGCTAGAACGGGCTGCTCAGGTAGGTGGTGGAGTCACTGACCCTGGAGGTGTTCAAGGAACACTTGGATGTTGGGCTGAGGGATATGGTTTAGTGAGAACTATTGGTGATAGGTGGATGGTTGGACTGGGTGATCTTGTAGCTCTTTTTCAGCCGTGGTGATTCTGTGGACAATGAAGGGCTGCTTACATTGGTGTGGAGCTGGAGCCTGAAGAAAGACTGGAAGAGCTAAGGCTTCAAGCCTAGAGAAAGGAGGGTTTGGGGGCAATCATGTAGATAAGTACCTAAAGGGAGGTTGTAAAGAAGATGGAGTCAAGCTTCTTGGGGGCTGGAGCAGAGCTCACTTCCAACCCCATTCAGAAGAGCCAGATCAATTACTATGAGAATCTGAGAAAAATATATTGTTTAAAATTATAATAATGACTATGTGAATAAAGTAAGTTAATGTGGAGAAATTCTTCTTAGTTGATATTTAAAAGTTACTGTAACTTTTAACTGGTATTTTTCTGTTTTTTTTTTGTTTTTTTTTTTTCCATGACTTCTTATTAAAGTAATTAAGGCAGTTGAAATATTGGGAAAAGCAAGTGCTAAACTAGCAAGCTGGCAGAAGCCTTGGTCTCACTCTTAATCTCCATACAACACTGTGCTATTGTTATATACATTCTCTAGAATTAAGACGTGGCAGCACATCAACATCAACACTTTACATTACATGTTGATGGTTTTTGTTTTTTGCACTGTGCTGCAGCATACAGGTTAGCCCATGTGACAGGAGTGCTCTGGCTGTTGAAGTGAAGGGCAGTGGCTTTGGGATGCACGGTGGCATTTGGGTAACCTTTTCTGGGTGCTTAGTTTCTTCTGTGGTTTCATTTCTCACAGATGCTTTAAATGATGGAGTTGGCTGGATTTTTAAGTCTGGTTCAGTTGCAATGCAACCTCTGAGGTTAAGGATGCTGTACCTGATGATTGGTGGCAAGTCCAGGCAAAGCTGGGGAATTGGGGAAGAGGCAGAAATGGCTGTTAACAGCAGAAGCAGGCTCCAGAAATGTGGCTGCAGGGGAGGCCCTTTGACTGAAAACCTTGTCGTACGCTTGGAGCTGGGTACAGAGCTGCCTATAGGCCTGCTTTGGGCAGGTTGTGTTTCTTCATGGGGATTAGAAATGGTTGAGAACACTGAAGAGTATTTATAGCAGTGGGAAGAATGTGTCAGAGGAGAAGTTATCTCAGCAGAGTGGGCAGACTTGGACCTAAGAGTTTGCTGGGGACTCTGGCTATGCTGTAAAAATGTCACAGTCTTGAGAATGTGAACTGAAAAAATAAAAGAGAAGCTGTATCACAGGAGAAAGTCTGGAAAATCATTTTACCTATCTTTGGGATCTCCCATGCATGTGGCAGTGCACTTCAGTGATCTGCTAAAGCTGAGTTAGAAGACAAAATCAAGGAGTGGGAGACAGGGAGCTTTGCACCAGGTATGTCTTTGGAAACAAACACAGTCTTTGCCCACGTATATTTACTTCAGGGTTATTCTGGCTTTTAAGATAAATAGTTTCTTTCACTCTGTGAAGAAATACAAGTTCATTCAGGATAATCTCATTTTATTAAGATCAGAAATCTCATGTATCTCCAAGACAGCCTTTTACATACACACAGCAGTTAGGGAAACAAAGGCTCTTGTCTCATTCTATACTGTTGGAATTATCGTTGTCAAAAGCATTGATTAAAATAAAAACTTTATCAAGAAATCATACAAAATAGGTATCTACATAGGGTTTTTTAAAATTTTTTAGCTCTATTTTAAAGTCAAGTAACCTATAAATAAGAGGTATATGTGCATCCATCAGAATGGAGTGGTCTCTGAAATACTCAAGTATTAAAGAATATTTGGAAGAAAGAAGAAAAAGTCCCATTTGCCATGTTTGTGAATTTAGAGTGAATTTATGGCAGAAAACAATGAGCTTCATGACATCTCTTGCTTATTAACATTTCTGCTTCCTGTTTCCCCAGTACAAGGACGTAGGTGTTAGCAGTGCAAGGGAAGCACAATCTCAGAACAGTGAACTGAAGACTTTCATGCCTTGAGCATCCTTAGGACCGATGACAAGGAGTGGAGCTCATTTCATTCTGAGGCAGCTTTGTTACTGGTGGGGCACAAGAAGCAGGCTGCCAAACAGACCTCCAGATACCAGAGGTATTGTCAGAGGTATTGTCACAGGAGACTGAAGTAGTGAGGTGGAATAACGCTGTCTTTATTCCAACTTGTTTATCCATACTAAGATCAGAGAGAGAAAATGTATACTACTGATCACTCTATGAGAATATATTGGAAGTATGCAAGGAGATCACATAAAGAGACTAAACCAATACCTTAACATTATTGTTGACCTTGAAAACTACTTTTTCAATAAGTTCAAGGGGTGATCCTTAAGTTCATGGCAAATGGGTACATTACAGAATGGACAAATCAGGTCTCTGTATATATAATCTCCTATATCAAGTCTATTGTATAATTTCCACAAACCATTTTTTTTTAATGTTAAAAATATGCTGATAAGGGATTGATTAGAATGATTGTTGTCCCATGTAATTTTGATTTTTGGCTTTGTACCCACAATAAGCTTGAAACAAAAACTTCTTGCAGTATCAGCTCCACCATGGATTGGATATTTCAGGGTTGGTGACAGATATGAGGAAGTAAAAAAAAAAAAAAAACAAACAACACTGGTATGGTTGGTTGGTTCATTGGTGAATCACTTTGGTTTGCTATTGCTGAATTCTTTATGATGGTTGGATTCACACTGTTTTAATTTGAGAAAGTTGCCCATAGATGCATTATTATGAAGTTACTCAGGTACTTTGGAAAGGACAGTTCTTTACTTCTTAAAAGGCTTCTCAAAATAGCTTAACTCAGGCCAGATAGATATCGAGTTCTTAAGAACAATGTCTGTTGTTTTTTTTTTATTATTTGTTTAATTTTGCTTCCCAATCAGAACAAAGTCCCTTTGAAACCAATCAAAAAAAACACTCTTAAGGAAAATCTGAAGAACAGTATTTGAATATATGTTTGCTAACAATCTCCTCATTGAGCCAGTAGCATGAAGAAAGCAGGAGATCTAAAGGAACAGCTTCTGTGAAGGACAGAGCTGCTTTGGGAAGGTCTGTTCCAGTTGCTGAAAGACATAACAATTGAAAGATTTGCTTGCCTTGTCTTCCTTTGTCTGAGGTCACATGCACATCATGAAACATCTGTAACAGTGATTAATGGAAAAAGTCTGAATGTATGTGGTGGTGGGGTATGTGACACTTTCAGCCCTGCAGCAGAGGTCCAGTGTTCGTCAGCTGTATAGAGCAGCATCAAGTGGCAAAAGCCGTCCATTCTGCAGGAGCCAGGGCATTGTCTGACACTGGTCCAATTCCAGCTGTTCTGAGTCCTCAAAATGGAAGGACATCAGGTCTTAACCTTTGTAAAATTAAAGTTGAAAAGATTCTCCTGTACTGCTGAGTTCTTATTCTATACTCCCTATTCCAGGTCTTAAAAATCATCCCTGACATGGCATCAGAAGTCTTCTTGTCAGTTCAGTTCCCATTCCCTTTCAACAGCTTCATCTCTCTTTCTTTCATGTCTGGGGCAGAGACTTGGAAAGTTTCTGTCTTTGAACTTTGGAATCAGTTTTGGGAGGAATCAGTGCAGCTTTAGGAAAAAATAAATTATCTTTTTTGTGTTAATCAGTGGCAAAAATACAAAAAACTATCTTAATCTCTTCAAAAGGACTATCTTGATAGCAAGAGTAGCAGCAGTGAATTTAAACCCAGGTCAAAACTTTAATACAATGGCTATTCTTAACCAGAGCACAGAGCTGAAGCTATGTCTAAACTACCTGATCAAACTACATCATATTAATCTTTACGCTCTGGTAATAGCCTGTCAGTGTCTATCTAGTTTGTGAGGAAGTGATATGCTACTCCTTATGCAGGCATTATTCAGCAGGATGCATCCTTATACTTGGCTTGTGGCGCAGTATCCAGAACCACCTGTCTTTAATTTTATTGAGACTGTGTGCTCAGTCCACTTCTGTCAAATTCAAGCTTATGCACCACTCAAATCTACCTTGCAGAGGTGCAGTCTGTTTCAGGTAAAGAGTGAGCGAGTCAGTGATTGATGTAAACAGAAGATTATTGGAAATAATGGGAATAATCAAACGGGCCTGATGAGGACAAGAGATCACTAGGAGTTCAAGAACTGGGCTGAGGTTCCAGACATAGGGTGCAGTGCAGTGATTTAAACGCAGGTGCAAAGCTGAAAATGGGAAGGATTAAAGAAAACTTGTGCTTGTAAACAAAGTTGTGAGCTTGGGAAATGGAAGAATACTTGCAGCAAAAGGAACCTGCATTAAAACAAGGTGTTTAACTGGCAAAATTGTAGCAGTCTGCAATTTGGTACAGAGCGGTGGGGAAAGCAATAGCAAACTGCAACCCCACAAATAAAAAATTCCCAAATTGGAATGAGCCCTCAGAGCAGGGTGGGCCCCTTAGTGCTTCGGGGTGTGGAAGGGAAAAAACACGGACTGTCAGTCTCCCAGAGCCTGTTGGCAGGCGCTGTGCTTCGAGAGGGCTGTGTGGAGGGTAGGAGCGGAGTTGTCAACCGGGAGTTAATATAGGTGGCAATAAGGAGTGTTGCTTCAACAATCTGGGGGAGAAAAAGAAAATGATTAACTGTAAGTCAAGGAGAGGGAAAAGTGCCCTTTGAATTTATTTATCTTTTTTTAAGAACCTATTGACCACATAACATTTGCAAAAGGCTTTTTCTCACACGGAGTCGTTAAGTTTTGAATTGAAGGTCTGTCTGTAAGAGGTAGAATAAGTCTCTCAATTAAATGGAACGATTTACACAGAATTTCTTGACTGTACGTAGCTAATGCAGCAGTCAGAAGTACCAGACCCAGGTTCAAAATACACGGCTTAGATACTGCCAGCTGGAAAGATACTCACTGTTCATTTTGTAATTACCTTTGGAATTGCCATTGTGAAAAGGAGTTTTTCTGTGCTGTTTTTTCCAGAACTCCTTTCTTTTATTTGACTGACTACAATCATGAAGTCATCTCGACAGCCTCCAAAGGTCAACACAGAAGAGTATGAATAAGAGAATTTCAGGTGCTGCAGACAACAGAGAGATGAAGAGTCATACTTCTGTGAAAGACAAAATGACCACCTCAAACTAGTGTGTTTGCTATTTACTGCAAGCAGTAATAGGCAATTGGTATACAGATAACAGCTGGTAGAGAAATCTCAGAAGAGAATTGCATTTCTAGGTTTTTTCTTGCTTGCTCTGTGCCCTGATGCTTCAGAGCTATGGTGCAAACTTTGTTAACCAGAAGGTAGTAGTAAAGCACATAGCACTGAGATATCTTGCAAGATGCCTGTACTCCTTTGTTGCCCATCATCAAGGCAGTTAGCTGTTACATGAAACTTTACCTTACACAGAAGCTGTAATTTTCCTTTGTTTATGTAGCTCTAAAACATAGCCCTCGCTTCTTCATCTCTGACTTCTACAAATTAACTTCTGGATCCATTTGAAGTTAAACACAAACTTTTACTGACTTTAAGTGGATTCAGGGGAAGGTCTTCCTGTGGGAGATATATATTTTTTTAAACAGCGTTCCTCACCATACCATAGTGTTATAATCCAGTACGCTGATACCATCTTCATTCACAGCTATCCAGACTGGACAGTCTTCTAATGAGGAAGGCGAAATAGGCTAGAGAAAAAGAAAATTTGATTTGAGTCATTTCTTGAATACTGTAAAGAAGCAGTTTCTGATAGAAAACTTCAGTTTTAAGGATAAAGTGGAGGTGAAAGAATCCTCTAGACTTACTGATCTAACCTGATTTGACTTTTAAGAGATTTTTTTTCAAAATCTGGAAAAATATTTTCAGATTGACATAGAATTTGGGAGACTAGCAGTACATGAGATGGAATTTAGTCTCAAAATCTTTCTCGTTGCATCAGTGTAGTTAAAAGTGAGGGTGATGCTGGGACAGTGACAGAATGGCAGTTCCGCTCTATGCTGGTTCTTGCACAACTGCCTTCCATCTAGCAGTAAAGCCCATTGGCTTCAGTAGTACCAACGCACAGAGCCATCACATCAGTGCAGTTTTCTTTCTTACTGATTTTGGCAAATGTGTCAATTATCTGTTCTGTCTAATAATATCAATCTTTTCTGGAAATTTGCTGCTGTATGGCTGTTTAACTATTGAAAAGTTACATAATATGGTAGTTATCAGAAATATCAACGTTATTTAACCTATTCTGCATTCTTATTCTTCACTGTCAAGTAACCTTAAATACCAATGATATTTCTGCTTTAATGCTGAAAGTGGAAAACTTAATCTTTCTTTTAAAAAGAAAAAGTAAATTTTTTCATATTTACTTGGGTTCTCTTTTCATCATTAGATGTAGCTATCACAACTTTCTCTTCAAAGCAAGAGACGTTAGCTATGGACAAGACACTATCAGACTTTCAGTAGAGGAGAGTTCTGTTGGGTTGGAAAAAATGGTTCATGCCAAAACAAGACTTCTCAGCATGAGTGGGTTAAGACATTAGTTATGGCAAGGGTAATAGGTACAGAGATCTACTCTTGGCTGGGCTAAGGGATGCTACAAGCTTCTGGAAGAACTGTTCCCACCTATGATTCTTTGCTGCCCTGCTGATGCCCATGGGCTGACAAATTACCCAGTATATGCTTCATTTTTTACATTTCTGCTACAGGACATTATCACTGCTTGCCTGTCCCATGTGGCAAGAAAAGCAGCCAACTCTGATAGAGAGCAAGACTGAAATACTCATACTTTCAGCTAGCATCAGCTGCATGGTGTGATTTATGGGGGACTCTTCTTTTTTTCCACACAGAGGTATGTAAATAGTATTTTTTAAGCTATTATTGCAGCTTTATGACCAAGAAAATGTGTACGTGTAAAAGCTTTGGTAAGGGTTCAGAGGTAGTATTTTGTATTGTGTTGAAACAATAGTCAGAAAAGCTTCAATGTCTATTTAGTGAACGCTAGCAACCCCTAGTGTCTAGAATGTATGTATCTTCCTTCTTTCTGAACAAATGTGGTGCTAGAACTGTTCAGAACAGAGCATTGTTTGTTTTTTCCACTTCCTGTAGGAGCATTTTCAGTCTGTGTTAGAAAATAGATATGGCTTTGCTCATAGACTTCATTCTTAGGGGGAAAAAAAAGGTGCATGCCTGTTACCTTAGCAGCAAATAGTTTGGTTCCAAAGAGAGGCCATTTGCGGGCCACTGTCAAATAAATTCGAATGCATTCCGGTGGAGAGCATCCCTGCAGCACCATCCACTTTGTTGCCAGCCTGTCAGCCAGTTGCCTATCAGAGTCCAAGACACAGGACAGCACTATTTAATAAAGTCTTTCAAGGGAACATGAGTAAAATTATACCAATAACTAAATCTACCTCTCATTCCAAAGTGCTGTTCTATACAGGCACTGTGGACAGGGCTGTTAGCACAGTCAGTTAGGGTGTGTTGTACAAACTGAGCTCATTTCAGCAGTTTCTCTACTTCGCCAGTTATTTTGCTACTACTTATACTGTAATATCCAGGAATCCCAGTTGCATACTGGTTGTTCATTGGTGTATATACTCAACAACTGCAACAACTAACACTTGGGCAGCTGTTGCAGTAAAATCCTGCCCAGCTTCACATTCAGTTATACTCTCACCTTCATCTTAACCTGTCTATAGTGTGCTCTAGATGCTCTGACAACACACTTCTACTCCCTCTTGATTTGTCTCGCCTAGGAAACTTAGTTCCACCTTTGCATCCCTAAGTATGTATTCTCAAATAGAATTCATCTTAGGCTTAAACTTATTGACTTGGGGAAGTTAGTCTACTACTGTGTACTTTTTTAAAGGAATCTTTTTTATGACACTGGTGTTCTGTTTAAGCTTCTACATTGAAATAAGCTTGACAGGGCTCCTTTAAACTTCCTAAGTTTGAAGAGGGCAAATGTACCAAGTTGTGTTAAGTGTAAACAAACAACTTACTTGAGTTGTTCAGGAGTAATATTTTTCTTGTAGTGTTTGGGGTAGAATTTATCCAAGACCTGATGGAGAAGATGCTGCATTTTGGAGTGTGATGTTCCCCCAGGACTTGAAGATGCTGTCCGATCCAAATCCCCATATTCCACCTGTATGGGAACAGTTAGGTCATGGCCTGAACCAGTGATTGAGCACCTGGTGAAGGGGCACAGCCAGCCCTGAGAGCACAGGTGGAAGCAATTCACCTGTGCAGCCAGAACCTCTCTAACCTCATATAAGGGCTGGCAGCCATCAGGGAAGCATTTTTTTCCTTTGAAGTATTCAGCAAACCCTGATCTTTGGGAAGGGGGTAAGTTTCTCTTTTATTACTAGATTGTGACCTCTACTTTTCTTGGGTGATCTGAAACTGGCTTAGAGTAACTGTATCTGTTACTGCCTATCCATTCACCAGTTAAGATAATGTTATGGTTTGTAGCATAATACAGTGATGAGGTTTTTTAGTGTAATAGAATGTTCCGTGGATTCCCATACTGATACATGCTCTGTTTACTAGTCCTGCAAAACAGCACCATCAGGATGGGGAATTTTTGACTGTAGCATTTACTACAATAAGCGTACAACAAAGCAGCAATAGAGGCTGCTCAAGGAATTCTTTGTTGCTCTGAAAAAAAGTGAAACAAGATATGGGCCAGCTACCTGTATGAGGATGCTTCTGCCTAACTGCTAAACTTCTGAGTTTTGTTTTCAACTGACCAATTAAAACAACAGCTTGTTTGGAAATAGAATGGATAGTATTTCCAGCTTCTTTACCTCAGTTTACATTGCTTTTACAAATGCAGCAGTTTCAGCTTAAGGAGAAACAATTATCCTGTTCATCATGCCCACAACTCATGCTGTGTGTTTCACATGGTAAAATGCTAAATGTAAGCCTGGAGGTTTAATGAAGAATCCTGGGAAATGCTGTTTCTGAGTACAATGGTGAAAGCTTTTACTATTAGGAAGACTTTTAACACTGGTAATATTTCAATATCCTCAGTATGGCCGTAATCAAAGCAGTTTTGGGGACAGTCCAGCCTCACTGTGTTTTGTAGTATTTTTTGCAGAATGAAAGGAGACTTTGTCTTGTAGTAAATTTCCTTATAGCAAAAGGTGATCTGTCAGTATAGGTTTGCTGGTGCAATGAGTCTGGCGTAGTACAGCTCAGACTACATATTTAATAAGAAATATCACTTTTGGTGCAAAACATAGCTGCTTCCTCAAGACATTCAGTGTACAGGTGTACTCCCTAGAGAACAAAAGCAAGGATTTCTGCCCACGTTTATGCTCACCTGAGCCATCAGAGCAACCATTTCCAGAGCTAATTCTTTATTAACTGGAAACCTTCCACTGGCTATTTCATTGCTGACTTGGAAGGCCAGCAGCAGCCGCTCCCGGTCAGTCTCACCCTTGGCTTGGCTCCGAAAATACAGCCTAAAATGTAGAAGATTGTAAAGGTAAAAACATGTTGTGAACTAACTGAGAATAGAGTTGTGAATTTTAGTCAAGCTGAGTAAAAATAAGTGTTATGTTTGTTTTTTGTCTAAAGTGACTTTTGTGTATTAGAAGGTGATCAGAGAAAGGTTCAGAAGCTAAGGTGTTTCCCTTATGATGAATATTTAAGCCAGGAGGCTCAAATCATGCTATCTACTTTGGCAGCTCTTTGAATTCTGTGAGCCAACCAAGTCAAGACAGCAAAGCATTATCAAACACAGGTAGATAAGCATCATTCCTCTTAACCATTGAGGCAAAACTTAAGAGATGTCATTCTCTGCTTACCACGGATTACAGAGTTACAGAGTTCTTTCTGCTATAAGGCAAGAACTGCGTGACCTTCTACATGCCAGCCTTGAAGACTTGTTACATTTGCCAACTTTGTTTTGACTGCTTACACTGAAATTGTTATTGAAAATTCTTCAGTTTGCTTCAGCAGGAAATAAGAATCCCAATTATCAGGCCTTACTACAAAAATGAAAGAAACATTCTTGCAATACTACTTTGATTTATTCTATACTAGCTTTGATTTATTCTTTTTACACTTAATTTCTTTGACCTGGTACAGCAATATGACAAATGGAGGTTGAAGATACAAGTGTGGGGAATGCTTCCTGGAACAATTCCTCATGTGAACTGTAAATAGGCATGCATCACCTAACTCAAATACTAATTTAAAGCTACAGCAATGACTGTATATTCCATGATGCCACACAAGATATTCATTCCAGTGGATCACTGTATCAATTTTTATGACAATTTAAGACAACACCATCAGGATCATCGTGGCCTTATGTGTCTTATCATGGTCCTTCAGTTTTGGAACAGTCCAACCTTGGAAAGACCTTATCAAAATATCCTTTCTGCCCAGTCTAGGCACATTCCAGTCTAACAAAATAATACTGCAAGGAGTTACTCCTTAAAAAAATAGTTCTTGGTCAAAAGTTATAACTTCTGCTTCTATTACTGTTAAGCCAGCTAATAGAGTTCCCAGAAATGTATTTCCATCATTACAGTCACCAAAATCTTTGTGTTCAATACAAGGCTTTGACTTTTCTAATTTAGGTGAGGCTTTATTTTCCCTGAAAATTGAATTCATGTGCAGAAGGCCATTACTTGTTCCTATACAAAGACTTGTATTCATTTTAATTCAGAATTCCTGTCTTTGTTATAAATGATGAACTTGTTCCAGTTTTTGTTTTAGATCTGTGTTTCATAGTTTTCTTCTCTATTTTTCATTGTCTAGCTTTTAACATTTCTCTCTTTATGAAGTCTGGGCATTGCTACTACATGTCTTCCCTGCAGTCCCTGCCATTTGTAATGTTGTTCTTGTATGCTTTTCAACTTCATAATTCCTCACTTAATTGCATGTTTCATTTATAGTGGTGATATTTTTTCCCCCCAGGTTTCTCATCCTCTCACCTAATGTTATTTAATTACATTTTAGGATCTAGGCAAACAAAATTTTGCCAGGTATGTTTTATTGTACTATAGCTAGTTCTTTAACCCATTTTAAGACTATTTCACCATTACAAAGTGTTTTTAGGTTTACTTCTAGATCGTATACTCTCTTGTACATGCATACTGCACACATAGAAAAAATTGCATCACATGTAGGAGTTGACATCATATTTGCTAACGTAGCTTTGGTGTTAACAATATTGTACTCCACTGGTGTTCTGCAGAAATACAGGCATTCTGGAAATGTTTAATTGACAAGAGGCCAACCCAGGAAACACAGTACCTGTTCTTATAGGTCAATTTCACGATTCTTGTGCCACCTTCATATTTACCAGGATGCAATTCTTTTAAGGCTTGTTCCCATTTAGAAATGACGTCACAGATCTTTTAAAGATATTAAGGAGAGAGAAAAGACAAACGTGTGAAGTGTATAGTCAAGGCTTGATGGGAAAATAGGGGGGGGAAAAAAGTACTATGGAACACAGATTATACAGAAATAGACAGGATCATTGTAAAGACAGCCAAAAGTGATAAATTGATTCCTTTTTCTATTACATAGTATGTTGAAAAAATAAAATTGTTGTAACTAAAAACTCCATCTCTGAATCTGCAGAGGAAGTGAATTCTGGCCTATTACCAGGCTGTTTTGTCTATGTTAGCAAGTTATGTAGCTCGGAGGAGTGGATGTACACAACAATGTGTTGTTGTTAAGACCTTGAGCCCACACTATGGTGTTTTCCTGTGCACTATCTTTAGTTTGGTCAGAAGGCTTGAAGTCCACTAGATTGGATCGCATTTCTCATCTTGTCTCACGTGAAAAGAATCCAGTTCCTGCTAAGACGGCTTCACACTGTGAACCAAAGCATGGTTCATAGGAAAGATTGGTAGGGTTGCTTCCAAAGGGTATTCCTGAGCCTACCAAAAGCAGTAATGTATTTTCTGAATGGCAGTCATGTGCATGATTGGCTAAACCAAAGCCCTGTGAATGTTCAAACTCTGGGAACATTTAGGTCTAGATTCCAGCTTCATACCTCACATACATTCTTAATAACAACATGGTGAAATATTTTGGTTCAATTCAGATTCCAATCCTTTCATGAATGGTCTAATAAAGGTCCCTATGTTCTCTTTTGATAGCATTTCAGTAAAAGAAATGTGAACATAAGAAACCACGTGAAATACATAACCAGATATTCCTCTCTTCTCTTAAGAAGGTATTGAAGTTGCCTCGGTCACTAAGTAATAACTTCTTAATAAGGAGTAAGAGCAATGCCTTTACTTGTCTCAGTCTCCTTCTTTTAGTGTAATGCTTTATCTCTGAACAGTGTTTTGATTTCCAGCAAAGCTTCAGATTATCTGATCTGCATCAGGCTATGAAAGCAAAGTTTATTATTTGGCACTGTGTGATAGTTTCCTTTTTAAATTGTCTGATTTAAAGTTATTGGCATCTACTCCCTATGTTGCCAAAGTAAAATTTTACACTGTGTATAAGTGAATTTTTATATTTCTTACAGATGTTAGAGCTTCTTTGAAGTTGTCACTGCCACTATATCCTCCATCAATACTGCATAGCAAATTTCCCTCACAAGTTAATACAAAAATTTGATGTCTTTCATTCATAGCCACTAGCCTACACAATTCAGGTAGCTATCCAGCTGCAGCATGAGTAAAAATCTCTGTATGAAAGATGTGTAAGTTAATACTTTAACTGTTCTCCCTTGATCTAGGCACTCCTCTCTTAAAGTGAGGGTATGCTCAGCAGAGCTATCTTCCCCTAAGAATACTCCTCAAGCAAAGTTATCTGGAGGAAGCGAAGAGAGAGAGACTTCATAACCCAGTATTTAAGATTTGTATAAGCATGCCAAGAAAATCACAGCCTAATCTAAATTTGTCTCCATTGGGAGTGTTGTACTTGATGTTAGTAATGATATCTAATCATGCCAGCTAACTCAGTTTTGTTTTAATTGTAGACAAACTAAACTTTAGTATGAGCTAAAATCTGACTTAAAGCCTTTTTTTAACCAATTTATCACCCACCAAAACAGCGTGCTTTGTCTTAACTAGAATCTCAGATGAGATATTAATATTTCATCTCTGAATGCTAATCGAGGGAGGCAAGATCCACATGTATTTGATCTTCTTGCATTAAGAAAAAATTATTAGCCAATTAGCAGCTCTACAAAGATGTATGCTAGACAGATGTAGAAGAGGGGGGAAAAAGAATTACCTTCATGTTGCCCTGCAGACAGTGTTCCAAATCCCTGCCAGAAGGATCATCCGTGAACAGAGAAAATCCCATGTGGGATGGTTTCCGCATTCCTGTCTCCTGGTTCAACCGGTGGATGAATTCATCAACAGTTGAGGAGCCATCAAAACCTACAACCTGTGATGCAATAGGAGCTAATTTAGTATAACTTCCAAAAAGCATGACACTGAGTATCACAACTAATGAAACCTAATTTTCTACAGATCAGTATATCATGATTGATTGTGAGCTGCAGTGACTGCCCTTATGTTATCTCCCTTAAGATTGAATTCTTTCTCAGAGTGAGACACTTTCAATGTCTCACCCCAGCTACCTTTTCTTCCTAAGTTTTAAAGGAAAGGGACTGGATTCTTTTCCTGGCTAAAATAGCAAGGAAGAGAAATAATACCTACCTCTAAATGTCTGACAGGTGTAACACCATGGTGCTACCAAATCACATGAAGGAAGCAGGTTATGGCACAGTTCTGTAGTGCCCAGAAAAGCAACCATAGTGACTCACCTGGTAGGTTCCATTCATAAAGTGCACTGGGATGCTGAAAGGGAGTGAGTGATGGTAGGGATTCCTCAGCAGGATGGACACAATCTCCATTCTTGAGGGCTTGGCTTCCCGTTCACCAGTCTGCACAGTGCGGTCCACTGATCTCTGGCAGTAGATGGCATACTTGCCTATTTCACTCCTAGGCAGGGACAGAGACGGAAATAAGTCACAAACATATGCATTAAATATGTCATTTCCTTTCCTGCTCCTATGCTGTAGCAAAGCATTCCTCAAGATTTGGCTCAAAGTTACATCTCTGTGTAGATATCCTAGCTGATCTCAACTGACGAGCTCAGCTGAAAAGTTACAACACAAACCTGAGCTCCACAGGTCTGTGAAATCCAAGTATACAGTGAGATTTCTGGAAAGCACGTGAGCATTCCCTGCTCCTGGCTGGACTGGACACAGCATAGGAATAATGAATAGTATTTGTTGAACCAAGACCAGGTAGTTCACCCTTAAACTCACTATCATGCCAGAAGAACTTAGTTACTATCACTTTAAGTCCTGATAAGAACTAATCAGAAACTATAATGAATTAGCTCCAGTAAGGAAATTATATAAACTTTGTTTATCAATTTGCATGACTATACAAACTACGGGTTTTCATTTATGAAGACTATCTGTCAGTCAACAGAGATTGTTCATTCAAGGGAGGCTCAGATTTGTTGCTAGTTTAATACAGTACAGGGACAGTTACTAACATGACCAGTTTATTGCGTAGCGAAGAGATTGCTCCACTGACTTGGACCAAAAGGATTTAAGTGTCTCTAAAGCCAGGAAAAAAACGGTCAGTTACACCTATAGGAAAAATGTTTAAAATGTATACAGTGAATAAGTTTTGAAACTGAATGCAACCCAAGGATTTATATGGGTTCATAAACTTCCACGACTTTGTAGGTGAAGAAGGAGGAGGGCAATTCCATTCAGGAGCTCAGTACATGATTAAAACTGCAGTTAAACCCTTGCAAGCAACATGAAAGTCAGGAGATCCAGGTTTTCACTGCACTAAGATGGTACTCACTTCCCCAGTAATGTGTTTTTCATGAGGAAGAATCTTGCTTCTATGAGAAGCTGCCATTTCTGGCTCCCAGATGATCCTGAGCCATCTTCTTACCTAGAACTGCGCACAACTTTTCTTCCACTTGCAGAGCATTAGATACATACTTCAATGTCACCTTTTATGAAAAGCAATACTTAGAATGAAGGTCTTGCCTAAATCTAAATCATAGGAATTATGCAGTGTAATGTGGGAGATGGTAATGCATGTGGCTGAAGAAGTGGTTTCTGGTACTAGGCAGAAGAGCCCTAATGTATCATCTTAGACAGTGAGAGTGTGAACTCTGATGAAATCTGACATCTGTGGTTTATTTCTGAGAAGAAAGAGCAAGTGGGAGGCATCAACAACAACAACAACAAAAGGCACTTGGTAGGAGTACATAGATTCCCGTTCCAGTAACAGGAGAGTTTTAGCTTAAGTCCAAAGGCAGACTTAGGCCAAAAGTTTGAATGAGCACTTGTCTGAAATGAAACACTGTTTTACCGATTTCTGAACAAATATTGTTAAAACAAGACAAAGTGACATCTCTACTCATGACCATGCCAAGGATGCAGTCAGACGTGCTGAAGACCAGATCACCATGAAAACACACAAAGACCACAGCATGAACACCATAGAAAAGCTTAGTCCTGCTGCAGTATATATTATCCTGTGTAACATGCCAAAAAGGTAACAAAAACGAATAGAAGAATCTATTTCAGGTTTTGTTTTGTTTTTTTTATAGCTTTCTATGGTTCCCCAAATTGTTCTCTTTTTGTACTGTCAGTGTTAGCTAACCTGACATAAGAATATCACCACCAAAAATTCATTCTGAATTTAGTCTGTAACTAGGAATAAGAGGCATCAGCAAAAGCAAGAAACAAACAAAAAAAGCCCTGGGTAGCTCTAATTATATTTGCAGAAAGTTCTGCTGGTTTTGTGAACTAGTTTAATGTAATCGAGAAAATGAATGTGAATGGCTGAAGAGGAACAGCTTGATATCTTTAGGAACCTTCCATCCCTTTCCTCAACTTGTTTTGCAGGTAGGATTACAAAGCAATTTCCATCTATTTCTGTAGCAGGTGCAAAAGCAATTATCTTAGGAAAACGACAACCAAGAATGCTGTTGAAGCCTTTACCTGGGGTCTGCGTGGCGCTGCAAGTGCTGCTTGACGTACCAAAGGAAGTGATGCTGGGGCAGGAACAGAGGAGCACATAAAGCCAGGAGCTGCCAGCACTGCAAACACAAAGCTTGGTCATAATTCTTGCTCTATACTTCCTGTCTATTGCCTTTCACAGAATGCTGCAACCAAAACATTGGATGGTGAATAGTGCTTTCAGGAGTGACCATTTTTAGACATGCAGTTCAAGTATCAAAATTCTCTTTCCTCCAGCGCACCTTTAGCATTTTATCAATATTATCAATAGCATTAATATTTATAGAGTGGGATTGACAAAGAAGAGTTCACCTGAATGACTGAGTGGTTCTGGGGCTGTCTGCAATTCGTCTGTTTAACAAGCTGACAGAAGATTTCATTCTGCAGCTCAGTATGTGTCAAGCAGACCTGTAGTGCTGTCTGGGCGAGTGACACGTGGTAATCAATAGAGGATGCTTCCACAGGGACATTGATGAACAGCTGACAGGACTGTAAAGTGGGGAAGTTAATCAGTGCTATTAATACAGTTACTCTTTGGTACTTCCCAGCCCAGATTCCCCAAACATGTTATAGATAATTCTTCTAAATAAACCTGAAAGGAGACATATAATATTAGATATTTTTATCTCTACCTCTCTACAGATGTGGCAACTGGAAAATTCACAGAGCCTTCTCCAATCAGAGAAGCTCACAATTCAACAGGAGAATCAGGAAATTGTGCTTCCCACCTTTCATGTCCACGCTTTACTTTGCTACGATTATTTAGTCTTAGTGCTGATCTTACACTTTAGAAGTGCAGGCTCTGAGCACCACAATCTAGCTGTAGGTGTCCCTGTTCACTGCAGAGCTGTTGGACTAGATTATTTTTAAAAGTCCCTTCCAACTTAAACAATTCTATAATTCTGTGAATCAGATCTCCAATGGCTTCACCACTGGTGTTGCTGCCACAGCTGAGTTTGCCAGTACAATGTTTTCTTCAGTCCAGCTGATGGAGAGGAAAGAGGAAGGTATGGCTAAGTTTGAAGTGAAAGCCTGTGTGGACCATTGCTCCTAGCTTCAGATTAAACTTCTAAAAAATGAATGACATCTAATGTTTGACTGTAATTGAATGACCCAGTAGGCCTGTCTAAAGCAACCAACGGTGATGGTAAATGTTAACTAACAACATGACCAATGCTGTTGTCCCAGCAACTGAGCAAAATGGCTGAAAAATATAATGTCCCTTTACCTTGAAAAGTTTCAGAGCTTCAGTCTGCAGAGCCTCAGATGGCAGAGTGGTGAGGGACATGTGCAGCCCATCTTTACTGTAGCACAACATAGGGTGTTTCCACAGTGGAGAATCTGAAGTAGCAGATAGGCAAAAACATGCGCTGTCAGAACCAGAAGATAGGTAACAGTCCTCATGTTGAAAAGGAGCCTTCTTGAGGAGGCAAAACATACTGGGAAGCAGCACTGCGCTATGCTATGTTTATCTTTGGGTAATCTGATCTTGGCAGTGCCTCTTGTGAGCAAGAGTCCACTGTCAGTGTTAGGCATCAGCAGAAAGAAGCACTTCCATCTGTGACACAGAGCTCCTTATCAGCTGGTTTCTGGTGAGAAAGTGCTCAGTTATATATTCAAACAGGAGATACAAACTGCCAGGCCACTTATGTGCTATGAGAATCTTTATTAATGCAAGTTACAATTCTACAGTAAGCGAGGTAGGTGTAGGAACATATGAGTGTGCAAGATCGAGTATAAAGAACAAACATACCTGTTAATATGCATGCAACCTACTCTACGGAACCTGCTTTAGCAGGGGGGTTGGACTTGATTGTCCCCAGAGTCCCTTCCAACCCTTATAATTCTGTGATTTGAGAACATGGTGCACAAACGTACATGAATGAGTAACTACCAGAGATAAGGAGGAAAAGATGAGCATGGAGGTAGGTGTTAGGGTTTATACATGTGGACAAAAAAAAACAGATCTGAAGGCAAGTGTGTGTGTGTGCGTATTTAGAGGAGAAAAGAGAGAACGTGTTTGTACTGTCAAGATTCCCACGAAAGGGATACCAGGACCAACAAACATAGAAGAAAAAAAAACAACAAAGCCCCAGTTATTTGAATTTGGATAAATATTACAGAAGTTTCAGATGCTTTGATAAAAGATGTAACACTGTTACAGACTTGCTATGTCATTACTATGCCTATTCTCTCCCAAGATGTTATTGTGCAAGTAGGAGTGAAATGCACTGTATCATATGCTATTCTACTGAGAACCCCCTTTCTTCATCTCTGACTGAATTAAAATTGAGTATTTAAATTACTTTTCCTTATGTTTTGCAACTGTGAAAAAGAGTTTGTTGTTTCTACTTACTAGGGTCTCCCTCTGCATCCAACAGTTTTCCAATGAGTTGCTCATATGATGTGCCCACTGTGGCATTCCTGCTACCAGCTGCTACTGTCAGATGGTACAGCCAGGTATCCTAGGCATGAGGATGAAAACAATATGGGAAAACTTCAGTCTTGTTTTCTACACATAGCTTTATTCCCCATACATTGTCTCATACCAAAAAGTCTCTTGCTCTCCAAAAAAACACCATTCATACCTTCTCCTGTTTTGTGCGAATGAGTAAGTATGTGGGACTCTGGTCTTGTGGGTGAATCACCAAAGTGCAGTGGGATGAGAGAAGTCCTCCACCAGTGGTTTCATAATCTTCATCGGAGTCACAGGAACGGTCTACTTCTTCCACTTTGGACTCACGCATAGGCAGATGCCCTAAGGGACACTAGAAAGATGAAGCAAGCTAGGTAATTCCAGCTAATGATCTGCTATGGATAAGGAACACTGGGAAAGAAACTCTATCTCAAAATGTTAGCAGTCCCATAATATGCGGGCAGTGAATTATAATTCAGTCCTTAACAATAAAATTATATCAGCTCACACTCCTACAGAAGCTTCTCCATGAACTAAAGTATTTTCAAACTCTGCTATTGCTTCTACTATATGTCTTTTGAAGGCATCTACAGGTCAGAATGAGCATATGAAAATAAAAAGATGATTTGCCCTTAAGCTACTGCTTTTCTCTCATTAGTTCTGTTTGTACCATTGGTTTTGCAGTGTAGGATGTGCTTTCTGATGGTCAGCTGCCCAATATCTTGAGCTACTGGGTTCTGATTGTGGTCAGACTTTATGGATACTACTGGAAAATAAGTACTTTTAAATTACATAAATTGGTAGGTTCAGACAAACAGAGATATCTATTGTGTTAACTCTAGAAGTTGATCCCAAGTATGAATCCCAGTGTTTCTTGATAAGCTAAAACTTGGGTTTAGACCTGGTTTAGAAAAATAATGGAGCACTGGGCCAAGTTTTCTAGAAACAGAAGAACATTACGCTGATTGAATGACTTTCCTCATTCCATCTTGTCGCTACTTCTTTTCATTACAATATGCAGAATATAGCAGCTGCTGTACAAAATAGCTTGCACTAAGGTTTTCACAAGACCAAACGTAGCAATTGAGAAACAAGATTCATGGTGATCTCAGAAACAGCAGTCGCTTGCTTTTCAAGACTTTTGTAATTTTACATAATGCGAGTTTTTCCTTTAGCTATTTCAGGAGATCGTGTAGAAGAGACTATTGGAAGGGGAGAAGTACAAGCAAGGAAGAGTTAGAAATGTGAGAGCCAGAAGCAATAAAAGAAAAGAAAATTTTGTAAGTGGGAATGGAGGGCTCAAGAACAAGAATTACCTTATCCTCATGATTTCGGTAGTAGTAAAAAGTTCTTCCAATCAGTGCACACCAGACCAGCTTAGAGTGACCATGCTTGACCTGCATGGAGGAGAAAGAAATGCATAATGTTTTTTAGCATCAGCGGTGCTGTTGCCACAGTTTTATAGAAGTTCCATTTTCAATTAAATGTTGCTTATAGTACTTGTTGTACGTTAATATAAGCTCCTCCCAAAACACACAGGGCACCATTTCCAAAAGCAAGTAGGTAGATCCCACCTAAGTATTTGGGACATAGATGTTTGTGGAAATGTCATAAAGGAGAATAATTTCCAGAAACTGTACTTTGTACCAATGTGATTGCAGTCTGTTATTGTGGAAACAAATCTGCTAAAACCATACAAGACATGTCCTTAAAACTCTCTTACATCACCAAGTTCAGATCAGTTAAATGAGAAGCTTTACACTTTCTTGGTATTTGTTTATTAGACTATGAAGCTGCGATTTATGTTGAAGGAAAGCCTACATAAACTACGTCTGTTACTACTTTATTATCTGACAAAGTCAGTATCTCTTCGTAGCCTTGTTTGTCCCATTCCTTATCATTTATGCAAACCTTCATCTCTGACAAACATAAGTTTACTGCCAATTTTCTTTGTTTCAAATTCTTCTAGGAAATATTAAAATACTAACTTCTTGCTGACATTTACTGTACAAACTAAGAGGCTGGTACTCTGTCAATACTGAACTAAGCTGAATAAAGTCAAAAGTAGTATTTTACCTTAGTGAGCCAACCTTTCGCAGTAGGTTTAGCATCACTGTGAGGAACTCCAACTGGACTGGTCACTTGCACTCTAAGAATACTCTGTAGGACATGAATCCATTCCTCCAGGATGTTGGGAGAGTCTGCTGTCAGGAAGTAGGTTCTTTTCTCTGTCATGAGCTGGAAGGAAAAGGAATGAGGAAGTATAAATCTGCACACCTTCATTCTTGTCATTATCTGATGAATTTCATTATCCCATTAGATTTTTTCCTTTCCTTTAACTTTGTATTAAATAGTTTGGCAATCCAAGAAGAAAGACACCATGAATTTAAGAGTATTAAGCCTTAGCAACTTCAATTTTGTAAATGCAGAAGGTAGTTTCCAGGCCAGGCCATGTGCCTTTCAGTCCAAGTATGACAGAAATTTTAATGTCTCCCTTATAGTGAACTCCTTTAACAATGACTTAAAAACCCAGTGTAGAACTGACTTTTAATGTTTGGAAACTGAATTCTAATAGGAATCCAAAGCTTTAGGTATTTCTTCAAATTCTCCATACATAACCATAGCATAGTTTGGGTAGGAAAGAACCATTAAAGGACATCTGGTCCAGCTTCTGCCATGGGTAGAGACATCTGTCACTATATTACACATGTAAAATCAGTCTGGAGATCTTGTGAGAGGAGTCTTGCAGAGGAGATCCTATGTACTCCCTGGCTTTAGTTGTTGTAAGAATGGCTTTTCCCTGTAGTTTACAAGTTCTCAACTTGAAAAAAGGAAAGTGCTACAGTCTAAAATCAAATAAGGGAGAATTTCTTTCAACATCAGAAAGCTGCATTTGGGTTACAATTTCTCCATTATTATTAAAACTTGTCTTTTGCCAGGAAACAGGAGCCAAAGTTACCTCTTATCAGTTGAGATGTACAGTACCATTCTGCCTGAAATAAGTGCTCACTCACCCAGACATCAAGTGTATGGTTACCTGCAGGATGAAAAAGCAGTGCTTACCTGGAATGTTTGGGACCCTTCACCTCTGACTATTTGGCATGAGGAATTTAGCTCCATCTGCCCTTGTGGTTTGCGGATAACATCACTCTGGGGAAAGAAAAGCAAACAACTTTTTAAGTAGGAAGAAATTATATGGGTCTCAAAGTAGTTAAATACAGCATTAAATGAATTCTTGTGCAGGTTGAAATCTGAAAAGGACAGAGGTTGAAGATTGCCAGGTAAAATAAGACAACAGTGTGATTCCTTTACAGTAGTGAAATAAGTCTCCTTAGCAGTGACAGACAATACAGCAAGGGTAAAAGCAACAAGTAGCATCTTAGGAAGCTCATATTGGACATTAGGAAAAAAAAAATCAACAGCAATAAAACTTTCTCACTAGGAAAGCAAGACAACTCAAAATAGGTGGCCAGATGTAATGACTTTCCACCTTTGGAACTTTTTAAGACTCAGTTAACGAAAGCCATAGCCGATTTGGTCTGTAGCTGGTGATAGTTCACCTTCAGTGTGCATCTTCCTGAATTCCCTTGCAAAAAACAGTCTGGATTCTTTGCATGTATTAAATTATGTATGTATGTTATATATGTACAATTTACTTGTAAATCATGATAGATAACCATAGTAGCAGAAATAAAGATGCATTGTGCACTAAGGTGTATTTCTGTATTGTCAGAATATGATGGAGAAAAAAAGTTGGAAATGTATTTTATCAATGTTTCTGACTGGGGAAGTGTTCTGTCTGGGAAGTGTTTGATCACAGCCTGAACCAGTGATTGAGCATCTGGTGAAGAAGGTGGCGAGCTCTGGGAGCACAGCTGAAAGCAGTTTACCTCTGAGACCACAAGAGGTGAACCCAGGGTCCATAACCTCATTTAAGGGCTGGTAGTCAAGGGGAAAACGTTTCTATTTGGAGATAATTTCCTTCTGGGAGCTTTTCACCCTCATCTCCCAGAAGCTACATCTCCAAGATTTCCTGCCTGAGCAAACAATCCATAGTTGAACATGTGGGTGAAACACAAAACTCTCTGACAGGTAAGCTTAGCCACAGCTGCACATTCTGCCAGCACTATCTAGAACCAATTTAGCAGCCAGCCTTCCTTCTATGCTTCCTCACACAGGTAAGTATCTCTGTGACTCACCGGAGACTTATAGTACATGATTTGTCTGTTTCTTAGTACAAACCATCGTCTCTTCCACATCTTCACCTGGCTGCCCATTTTCAGCAAGTAACCTGATTTCTCAATGGGTTCCTGGAGGTAAAAGAGCAAAGTAGGATTACCATGAACCTTTCAAAACACAAAGAAAAGCACGAAATTGAGCTCAGACTCAATGCTGTATCTTCTTCACATTCCTCTTTACTCTGCCAGATGGAATTAGCAGCCATCCAATGTCAGTGATCTTTGCTTAGTTTGAAAAAAAGCCCAACACCACGTGTCCAACTGTTTGACTTGCCTGAGCCACATATAAAATATATAATATAATTAATATATATAAGTAATAAAGCTACTTCTAATTTTTAATTAAAACATTAAAAGAAGGCAACAAAAATGTAAAACTAGTGGGGTATTTGATCTAGTTTTGTGAAACTAATGCACAGATAAGTTGGTTTTGTTTTTTTTTTTCACATTGAAGATTAACTCATTTAAATGGCCAGTCAAGTCCACTAAAACTGTGAGCCGTTTTAATCACAGAACAGTGGGGCTGGGAGGGTCTTCAAGACATCATTGACTACAACCCCCTGCTAACGCAGATCCCCTAGAATAGGTTGCATAGGTAGGTATCAAGATGGATCTTGAATATTTCCAGAGAAGGAGGCTCCACAACTTCTCTAGGTAACCTGTTCCAGTGCTCCATCACCCATACCATTAGTAAGTTGTTCTACGTGTTTGCGTGGAACTTCCTGTGTTTTAGGCCATTGCTACTGTCTTATCACTGCACACTACTGAAAAGAGCCTGGCCACATCCATCTGCTTCCCAACTCCCTTTAGATATTTATAAATATCTAATCACCACAGCACAATGTTTAAGTGAAGAAGTCATTATCCTTTCTTCTTCCTTTGAATTTCCAAACTTGCTTAGTCATAAAGGTATAAGGCTGTCATTAAAGGAAAATATGACTTAAAAATACAATATAGATCATCAGGAAAGAATACAGTCCTCAGTGCTTATACTTCTCTCTTACAGTGCAAATTCCACCATCAGTGGAATAGGATGATGTCCGTTGTAGCTTATGTTCTGGCTCTGAGTAGTCACCATCCAAGGAGTAGGCATCAGGAGGGACAGCATAGTCACTTTCAGAGCTCACTGAGGACATAGAAACACCTGTTAAAAACAAAGGAAAGAATTATAGGTAGGTAGAAGCAGGCACAGATGTAACATATTTGATACTGCACACTTTTAAAAAATTCTTGAGTTCACCATTAAAGTTTCTTTGCTCAATAACACATTATATCAGAAGTTGGAAATTCAAAGCACACTAACCAAACTTCTGAGACTATTCTTTTTGTAGGAAAATAAGCTTTCTGTGAACGTTTCACCATTGGTGGGCATTGCTTACTCATCACAACAAATATTAAGACCACACGTAATGAGGTTATATCTTATTGACTGCAAATTGTAAAGAATTTTCTACTCTAGGATCCAGTTTAGCCTCTCCAGAAAAGGAAAACTGCCCTAGCCAGGACACAAATTACTTGATGCCTCTCAAAGGTAAGAAAACTTTGTTTACTTGTCCATTAATTATCAGTAAGTGACAGATTAAAAATAAATAAATCTTTAACACGTCAATATTAACTTGCTTACAAGGAGAAGACATAAAAGGGAGGAGACTAGAGCACGAGACTTATGAGGAGCAGCTGAGGAAACTGAGATTGTTTAGCATGGAGAAGGCTCAGGGGAGACCTTGTCACACTCTACAACTACGTAAATGGAGGTTGTAGCAAGATAGTGGTTGGACTTTTCTAGCAGGTAACAGTGACAAGACGAGAAGGGATGGCCTCAGGTTGCACCAGGGGAGGTTCAGGTTGGATATAAGGAAAAATTTCTCAGAAAGAGTGGTTAGGCACTGGAATGGGCTGCCCAGGGAGATGGTTGAGTCACTGTTCCTGGAGGTGTTCAATAAGCATTTAGGTATTGTACTAAGGGACATGGTTTAGTGGGGAAATATTGATAGTAAGTGGATGGCTGGACAAGATGATTTTGGAGGTCTCTTCCAACTTTGGTGATTCTATGATTCTGTGAAAAGCTATCAATGCTCCACTGTATGATGAATTTGAGGAATAATCCTTACCATCATCTTAGCTTAGCAATTGTCTGGAGAGAAAGCTGCTAGCAGCAAAATCCAGCTAAGAGGACAGGTTTCTGTTGAGTAGCTGTTGATGTCTTCATGCATGCTGTGAGAACTTGCATTTGCCTGTGTGTCACTGATGACGTTGTTCAGGACAATTTGTGGGGAGAACACATGTGCTGCTCAGTAGCAAAACTCCCACTTTACCTCTTTTTGTTGCACGAGGGCTGCCTGGCACACTAGCTTTCCTGTTTTCGGATCCAGCAGCAGAATTCCTGAAGCTGGCATGGGAGCCACAATCATCATCAGAGCCTGAAGACTCATCTAAGAAAGGCACGTTGCTGATCTGTGTGGCTTTCTGGAAAACAGACCTATATGGTCAGCATGTAAGGGAGGAGTTTCTCTAAGACAATCCCTGTTCACACTGCTTTGACCAATACTGTTCCAGGGCTCCTATGTTTCTACAATCTCATGGTGCAAGTTGCAACATCCTGTACCAAAACTTGCTGCAGCATTCTGTATTTCCTTATGAATTTATCATTTCCTGTTCCTTCTACATTCTTTTGATCTCCAGTCCTTAGCATTCTTTAATTTTCTTTTCCTCTCTGCACAGCTTCAATCCATTCTGTCTCAAACTAGTGGTTGCCCTGGCCCATGCTTTTCGTAAGACAGAAAACTGAAATAACTCCTTACCCCCTTCAATGTAGTGTAGACTGGAACTGTGATGTTTCTGTAGATGAGACAGGTAAATGGCCCAGAAGCTGAATATGAGAAATTTGAAACTGGGAAAATTCAGAGAGAGAACAAAAACAAAAAACAAACAAAAAAAACCAAAACAAAACAAAACAAAAAACAAAACAAAAAAAGAGAGAGCAAAAAATATACAATCTGGTGAAATGAAGGCTTTAATGAAGAAGTACACGTATGTTTGTACCTCGTGTAGCCACTTGGAACACAATGGAGGACTGCTATCCTGGACTGTTTGGCCTCAGAAAGCCTAGAGGATGCATTACTTGTTACATACTACTATCAGAGACAGCTGCAATGTTCCTTTCATTTAGCCTGTAACACATCCCCCCATGCTCCCCATGGTGTGATGGCAGTCGAACAAACCAATTCTGAACAGGTTAAATGGGTAATTTGTTCCCTGCTTCACTGGGAACTTTTTCATGGCTACCTTCCCTGGCTCACAAGCAGGGAAAAGTAACGGTGAAATCACATGGCCAAAAGCATGTCACTGACACACAGGGCCAGAACAGTTTCAGTAAAAGAGAGATAACAGAATCCCCTGAAGATGTTACTGAATATAGGGGCTTAAACAGCTCAGCAACAGTCATTGCCCTTTCTTTCTCTGTTATGGTTATCTGTTAAATCAAATTTAGTTTGAAAACAGGCAAGTAAATGAAGAAATGTAAGTAGCCAGTTGTTAAAGTCTCTGTCACTGTAATTGCTCTCTAGGAATGGATCTTGTCTAGAACTTACAGCAGCTGGGAGTGTTATTCACAGTGGCCACATCAGACATCCTCATGCCAGACTTGGCCACAGCATAGATTCGGCTCTCCTGGAACAATACAATACCATGAACAGCAATGGTAAGACAAAAACACCAGTCCTGCAAAAAAGAAATGCTCATGTCACAGGATCACATATCCCTTTTGGGCAGGAAGGAATGGCCCTCCAGGAAGAATGGTTCCATTCCAGTAGATGTTGGGTAAATGACTGTTAGTGGAAATGTGCATACATGCAATTCCCTGAATCACAACAGACTTGGTGGACAAGAGTGCTAGAGGTGACAATTGCAAAATGGAGCACATACATAAAGTTGTAAATAAGTAACTACGTCTCAGCTTAGAATAGTTTTTTTTCCTCTTCTTTCATAAACAACGCATTAAAATAATCAAGAAGAGCTCTAAAACAGGATAATTTATTGAGCCACCGCCTGCAGAGGATTTCCTTTCTCTGATTAGGGAATGAAGGAAACACCTAGAATGATCTTGATGAACTTGTGACTTAGCTAAAGCAACATACAGAGCATTCAGTTCTAAAGATCTCCAAGCACTTACAAATTATTTTCAATGGAGGAAACTTAAACCTGTAAATAAAAGCAATGTTCCAACTAAGACATTAACTAGTGCAAAATTGATAGAATCAAAGCTGGAAATCTGGATCCTCCTGCTGCTCCTTATAATGTACACTCACTACAAAGTGTCAGGCAACACATATGTGCATATACGTTACAGTACCCAATGACTGCAAAGTCAAGCATGCCAAAAAATAGAAGTAACAGGCTTAGTATTATTTCTATATTTATGCAGTGTTATTCAGTCTCTAATGAAATACGTGCATTTTTTTCCCCAGATACTTCCTAGTCAGGATACAAAATCACAGAGAGTGGCTGAGGCTGGCAAGAACCTCTGGGTCCATCAGGCTCAACTCCTGTTCCAGCAGGAACATCCAGAAGGCGGTTCTCAGGCCCAAGTCTAAGTGGCTTCTGAACATCTCCAAGGAGGAGACCTCAGCCTCTGGGCAGCCTGTGCCAGTGCTCCATCACCTGCACAGAAAAGAGCTGCTTCTCAGTGTTCAGACAATCTTTGAATCTTCGGTTTGTGCCCACTGCCTCATGTCCTGTCACAAAAGAGCACTGAAGAGCTTGGATCCATTTTCTTTGCACTCTCCTTTCAGGTATTTATGCACATTGGAAAGATCCCCCAAGCCTTCTTCCTCAGCCTTTTCTCTTAGAAGGGACGTTACTGTCCCTTAACCATTTTATTAGTCCTTCACTGGACTTGCTTCAACAGTACAGTACTCCAGGGAAGGATCATCTGCCTCAGCCTGCTATCAGTGCTGTTCCTAATGCATCCTAGGGTACCACTGACCTTCTTGGCCACAAGGGCACGCTGCTGGCTCATGGCAGCCTGGTGTCCTGGTCCGTATCTGCAAAGCTGCTTTCCAGCAGGTCAGCCCCAGCCTTTTTATTCCCTCCTGGGAGCAGGATTCTGCATTTGCCTTTGTTGAATTTCAAGAGGTTTCTCTCAGCCTAGCTCTTCAGTCTGTCAAGATCCTTCAGAATGGCAGCACAGCACCCTGTGGCACCACCCACCCCACTCAGTTTCAGCAGTAAACTAGCTGAGGAGATGATTTATCACTTCAACCAAGTCACTTAATGATTAATTTGCTATTTAATAATCATACTAAGATACACTTCCCTGACTCTGTTCTGAAGAGAAAATAATGGATTTTCTCATAAACTTTTCTTTCACTATGCTGTCAAGTTTTGTTCCCAACATGGTTCCATACTATGGACTGAATACAGGGAGGTTCTTTCAGAAAAACAGCTGCCATTGTACTGGGATTTAAACTGATATCATAAAGGACACATCCAAAGATCAAAAATTAATATTTCATAATAAAAATATTGCAAAACATGAGAAATAACACTGCACCTTCAATTTCACCTTCAATAAGCCACTTGTTTGTCAACACCTTTAAAAAAGCAAATTGAAAAGAACGGAATTATCTCCTAGGATATTATATTGATTTTTACCAAGGGTATCATTTGGATTGACAGATTAGGAGAAGGACAGCCATCTGAACTAAATATTAAGAACATGACAACAGAACTAAGGATAAAGTTTTGATGACTCATAAGGATGAAACACAATGCAACACTTCCTGACTTTCATTTTTTTCCTGTCTGTATCTTGAGAGCTATTTTTCTTTGACTATTTTTTTCTTATAAAGGGAAAAGAATAAGAAAACTATCAATGAAAGTAACATGCCCCATGATTGAAACTGTCAGAATAAGTGGTTCAGAAATGAAATCTATGTCACCAGGAAACAGTTGTCTGGTATCAAAAGCTGCTCTAGTTAGCCACTGGGCTCCTCTCAAAGATGAACAGCACCTCTTGGACTGTCATTGTCCCTGCATTTCTTACCCAGGAAGGAAATCTGTGCAGAGGTGGTGTGGGAGGTTTACCTCCTGGTTCAAGGACGCCAGCCTTAGAACTCACAACTTCTCTCTGTTCTGTAGGTAAGTGGTTAATCTCACACATTCCAGCTTCTTCCATCACCAGGCCACCTTCTGTCTCCATCTTCTCCAGCACTGCATCATCATCAATGTCTGTCTCCTCCACTGGCCTGTGACAGACTGGGGAATCTTTTATGGGCTGGAAGGTGCTAGCCTTGAAGCTCATTACATGACAGGAAGAACTAGTACCTGACTGTGGTTGACTATAATGTCTTTTGGCTAGTTGGATACTGTCTCTTGGTGTACTGGGAGTTCGTATTTTCGGAAAGGTCATACTTGTGCTGAGTCCATGTTCTCTCTCTGGACAGGTGGAACATGCTGTAACGGCAGATGCTGACACAACTAGGGGTGGCTCAGCAGTCTGAAGATGGCCCTCAAAGATGCTCATTATTTCTCCTGAGAAAGAAGAATCCAAACAGTGGGAGTGGAACCTGGCATTCAAATCATCAGGGAAGCAGGCTCTGTCCAAAGTCACTCGTTTCAAGGTGCTTACAGTGCTATGGTTACTATCTAAAGATGACTGGAAAGTCAAAGCCCCTAGGAGTTTTGTAGGCTCAGCTGGAGGGTCCAGTGATGTGGGATCAGAGCACCCTAGCCTGTGTTCTGAGCTTATGGCTGAGAACGCGTCTTTCTCTGTGGAGAGATTCCAGCTTGATGGGTCAGTCAAGAGCTTCAGTGTGTTCTGGGAAAGCAGAGATTTATCCTCTCCATCCTCAGTAAAGTTATCACTGGCCAGGACTATGTTTGTTGTCGAAAGGATGCGTTTGGTCAATCCTGTCTGGCACACCTGTCTGAAAGCAGGTGCAAGGAGCCTAGATTTCTGGTCTATCTTCTCAGGGTAAGAGACCTGTGGTGCTCTGGGCTTCAGAGAATTACAGCTCCAAAGAGACTCCAAAGGAGGAATGCCAGTCATGTCTATGATGAAGGAGAATATATGGTTAGGGCATTCAAATTCTTTACCATCAAAAATGTTTCTTGCTAATGTAATTTTTTTCAGTTGTATTTCGGTAGCAGCCATATCAGGACAGGCTAGTGGAGAGACTCTGACCTAATTAGAACTATAGCCATCTCTCTTCCACAGGGACAGTTATAAGAGAAGTGTTAAATATTTAGAATGGTACAGAAAAGATGACTAGGAAATGATTAAGTGATTAATCACAGTTTCTTACAGAAATGAAATTAAGAGATACCTAATGAAATTAGAAGACAGTGTGTTTGAAATTCATAAAAGAAAGGTTGCAGGTTTTTTTGTTTGTTTGCTTGCCTTTTATTGTTTATTTTTTCTCCACTGTCAACCAGAAGACAAGATACTGTTCTAGACAAGCTTTCAGTTTAACCAAATAGAGTAGTTGTTTATTTCTTATTCTTATCCATATTCATACATTAAAGATCATCGAGTCCAACCACAACCTAACCATATCACTCTAACTAATAACCCTCTGCTAAATCATGTCCCTGAGCACCACATCCAAACAGTTTTTAAACACATCCAGGAATGGTGACTCAACTACCTCCCTGGGGAGCCTATTCCAGTGCTTAACAATGCTTTCAGTAAAGAAGTTTTTCCTGATATCCAACCTAAACTTACCCTGGCACAACTTGAAGCCATTTCCCCTTGCCCTGTCACCAGTGAGAAGAGACCAATCCTGCTCTTAAGACAGACATAAGAAGGAAATGCACCAGTCTACACAATGTTCTGTCAAAAACCATATAGGTGGCTATATGGGAACTGCTGAATCACAGTCTGAACCTCTGACCGATCACCTGAGGTGAGCAATGAGTCAGCCATGGGAGCAGAGGTGAAGGCAATTCACCTGTGCTGCTAGAAGGGGTGGAGCCTGGCTGCACCTTTCCTAGACCCATTTAAGAGCTGACTACCAGTAGGAAAGGATCTCTTTGGGAGGTCCCTCCTCTGGAGTTTTGCAGCAAGTCTAGGATGTGGGTAAGCTTTCTATCTATTCTCTTTTTGTTTTTATAATCTGCTTTGCCAAACTCTCTTGTTTATTTCATAATTATAACATCTTTATATTCATTGACTATATGGTAGCCCAGAACACTGGTTAACGTGGATGTTTTGTCTTCAGTCCTTACATTCATTTCTACTGAATGAGAACTTTAGAGGATGAGAAAGTGTGTATACAGCTTTGAGTAGCAGAGGATATTATTTATTCAAGAAACCTATACTAAAGCCCTGCACGTTTTCTGTGGCTTTTGCTCACCATAGCAAGCTCCTGTGGTATCCCACTGGATACTATAAACGCAGACCTTTCTTTTCTAGCACTAAGCTTAAGAAAGAACACCACAAACAACCACGTTGTAGGTTCAGTCTTTCTTCTGTACCATTAGAACAGGGACAACAAACCTCAAGGAGCAGCCGTGTCTGAAGAGGAGACTGAGGGGAGTCTTCATGGTGGCCTACAGCATTGTCATGATAGGAGTGGAAGGGCAGGTGCTGCTTTCTTCTCTCTGGTGATAGCAACAGGACCCAAGAGAACAGCATGGAGTTGTGTTAGGGGAGGCTCAGGTGGGGACAAGGTTCTTCACGAAAATGTGTTCAGGCACTGGAACAGGCTCCCCGGGGTAATGATCTAAAGCCTGCCACAGTTCAAGCAGCATTTGGACAGCATTCTCAGACATAGGGTTTGGGTGGTCCTATGTGGAGCCATGAGAGGGACTCAGTGATCCTTTGAGTCTCTTCAACTCAGGATGTGTTCTGATTAAACTACAGTGCATCTGTGCCAACACTCCTGCAAGGTTGAAAGAAGATTGGGAAGAAAAACTCCCCAGATCTCCCTGGGCCAGGCACATCTGTGTTTTGGTGTTGGGTTTTTTTTGTTTTTTGTTTTGCTTGTTTGTTGTTTTTTTTTTGTTTGTTTGTTTTCTGTTAATCTGAAACCTAGAAGTCTAGAGCTTTGCCATTTTAATCTTTGGTTGTGATAAAGCCCTATTTCATTTCTTCATGTCTAATCTTCTCAACTACTCTTTTCTAGACCACTAGAAATTTCTGGAAGTCTAGCTAAGTTACATACATAATTTCCTGCAAGATGGGATGTGGTCACTTAATCACTTAGTGATTTTCACTGACTTTAGCATTTATATACTGCCTTATTGAAAAGCAGCAAGCCATAATCTGCTGTACAAATTGCATAAAGCTGTGCAGTCACATTCACCACATATTACTAAAAGTGCTGCCTGAACAAACTCCACAGGCATTGTTTAAAGTCCAGAGTGATTTAAGAGGAAGTAGAAATACACTGAAGACACGAAGTAACAAAGGGAAGCACAAACAGCAGAATAAATCACTGTTAATTGTGGAGAGGCCAAAGCCTACTTCAGAAAATACAGCTGAGAAAAAAGACAACCTTCAGAGCAGTTTTGACCTTGGCAACTGAATCCCAAGAAACAAAGCTATTCCTAACACACATACCCATGCATTTTTGTTAGACTGAAAAAAGGCCATTCATTTTAAATAATATTGATACTTTTGCAACTTGCTAGATGTGACAGTAGATGAAGCAGAAAAGCTCTTACTATTAGCATGGCAAGCAAAAAGATTTGTCCCTCTGCAGGGGCCTCTGAATTTAGCCTGGCATGGTGAGACCAGTGGGGGGACAGGATAGAACTATTTACTGCCCAGAGCACTGGGCTACAGGGAACACTTAATACCAGATTATTAACGCAGCTTACCAGCCATTCACTTTTTGTAAACAGCTAGAGCCAGAGGGGATGAGAAAAACCCAGCCAATAAAGCATTTAGCTAGAAACATGGTGGGATTTAGAAGGAATCTTGCCCTATTATTTGTGGAGTAATGGGAATGCCAGAAAAAGACTTCTGCAGGAAAGAAGTACCCCCTGCCTGCATGCCCCATGAAGCTCTGAAAATTAGCTGCTCTTAGGTGATCAAACCAACCACCGTGAAAAAGAGAGAGAAAAAAGTAAGAAAATAGTAAATATTTTCCTCTTTAAAATGTGTTGCAACAAAATATGCTGATTTCAAATTCTGGAGACCAAAGATCTCCATCTATCCTCCCTTCAGGAACCACAAAAGTACAAGCAATATAAACTGCTTTTTTCACCCCAACCTGATAGCAAAGAAGAACTTAGCTTAGAAAGGCAGATAAGACAGCTGCTGCCTTGGCCCATTCAATTACTCAATTCAGACGTTGGCAGAGGTGGCTGACCTCTGAAGATGAGGATGCTTCACATAAGAAAGTGAAGTGAAACACTTCAGAGGTTTCTATCCTGCACCACTGATATTTTCCTATGGAGTGCTTTTAATTCAGAATCTCAGTGGTTTACTTCATTGGCAAAATGGGGAGTCTATGTTCAATCCTTCATGGAAAACCAACTAAGAGTATTTTAAGGCAGCTAAACAATGTTATTCCCATCTGAAAAACAGACCCTTTGAAAAACAGAACAACTATACTTCTTGCTCAATGATGTAAGTATTTGTTTCTGACAAAGTTAAGAATATAACCCAGGAAGGCTGACTTCTACTCTTGAGATGGTTAGTAGGCTACAACACTAGGTGAGTGCAATTACCTTGCAATGTGTCCTGAAGGGCTTCAATTTGCTCAGTCAGCCTCTGATTACAGTTTTTCAGGTGGTAATTTTCTAGCTCAAGCTATGAAACAACAATAACAAAAACTGAAAATTAATGCATAATGTGTATGTGCTTGTGTTCCTCTGCACAGAACAAGTCTTCAACTTTACTTACATTCAAGTGTTTGAACAAATTAGGTGAATTCTACCAGTCACTTCCTCCGCATCTCTACTTACACTTACCTGCACTTTCTCAAATCGCTTCTGTCTATTCTATTTGTACTTCTCAGATCTTTTAGTTTTGTTTTCTGCTGTTGCTTATCACTTATTCTCATTTCAGAAATAACTGTTATGAAAGAGACAAATAACAGCACTTTTCCTCTCATCCTGTATGTGTAAAACATAGATCCCCACCTGCTCCAGAAGACCAAAGAAAAAAAAGACATCGTACATTTGCAATTTTGCCTTATGTCTGTAAAGGAATTGTTAGATAATGGCCTCAACTGGTGATTGAGCACCTGGTGACAGAGTATGGCTGGCCCAGGAAGCAGAGGTGCAAATAATTTGTATGCTTCCCACATGACCAGAAGGGGTAGACCCAGGGTCCACTGTCCCTTCTTTCTCAGGCTCCTTTAAAGGCTAGCCTCTAAAGGGAGAACATCTCCTAGATGAAAGCTATTTCTTTAAAAAGAATGTTCCATGGCCAGAGAACATTATCACTAGCTGGGTGAGTCATTTATTTATTTTTAATGTGTATGTCTATTGGTATTTCTAACGATGCTTTGCTTGGTACTGTAAAGAATTTGTCAGAAGCAGTTTCTCTGCTTCATAGGACAATCCATGTCTTTGCTTGAAGCATATCAGTGTACAATCTTGAGCACAACGAGAGTGCACCCAAAGCGGCTTTATTTTTGATGGAATTAAAGCTGTAACTGTACTTGTGGTGCTTTCTAGAGTACTTCATCTGCAATGTAGATATTAAGTCCTTCAGTCACCTATCATTTACACGTGTATGGTGTGCAGCTAGGATCATCACACAGCATGATCTTATTGCCAATAAAGACACGATGTGAATGCATAGTCCTGGGTTCGCAGCAGTTTGCTCTAAGTCAACCCCTGTGTTTCCCTTAGGTTGCATCAGTCAGTAATGTAGGTGCCCCTTAAGTTACCTCATACAGGAGAATTAAAGAAGTAGCAAAGTTTTCAAGCACACAACTGCAGTGGAATTACATCTCAGCATAACCAGCGTCCACAAAGACTACTACTTTCAGCTCCAACAAGTATTTTTTAATTTCTTTCTGGTGTAAGTTCTGAAATACATGGCTTTCCGTTAGAATGGAAAAAAAAAAAAGCTGAATAGACTCAACTAAGGCATATTTAAACCTGAGTGATGACCCATTGCTACCTTTTCATTACTTTTTAGAGTATTGAATTGCACCCAAATGAAGGTGTATGTCCACAGGATGTTAAACATGGGAGCATAGGTACGAAAGAATGTTAGGTAGGACAACAGGGGTGTAGTGTGTCATGGGTGGCAAACTATGGAAGAACAAAAGATAATGTTTGTGTTCTTCCTGCTTTGTCAGGAAGAAACACAGAAACTGCAACCTCAGAAAAGAGGAGAGGTAGAGGAAATTTGTAGAAAAGCCATTTGTGTTTAGTCAATGTAACAACATTCTTCAGAGCCTGTATTTGGGCACTAGTGACTTAGCAGTCATTCATGGTTTGTCTAAATCAGTAAAATAACCCTGAGGGGTGACTCTAGTCCTGTAGTTGAATGTGTGCACTGGGGGGGAAAAAAGGCTGAAAGACTTTCTGGCAGACTGACTGTCTTCAGACTATTGTTCCTATAGAAGAGCATACAGGCAATGCAGCAACTGCATCTACCCAAAGGCCTTAAAATTTGGTAGCAGGCTGCAGACTCACCTCTTTCAGCTTAAATGTTACCCACTCTTTAATCTTGGCAGCTTTCTCTTGAATGATTTTGGCTTCCTCAGTCCTCAGCTGTTTCTGTGCCAAAAAAAAAAGGATTCTATGCATTAGGATGGTACAACTAACAGTATTCTCAGTGGGTTACTGCATGAGTTGTTCACTGACAATCCTATTATAAATGTAAAACTTAAAACCTCTGTTTGGACGTTACTATCCGGCTGACCACTGAAAAATCAAGTTCTTTAGGTCATCTTATGTAGTCCCTGGAGTCAAATTCATAGGATTATTTTAAATGCCTTCTGTGGAATAGCAAGCCTAGCTTATGTAATGATTGCCCCTCTCCTACAGTTTTAAGTAGTCTCCAAGTTTTCCAGTTCTTGGTGTTTTTGCAGTGTTGAGCATCTGTAGTGTCCTTTCTCTCACCACCCCACCCTGCAAAATACACCCTGCTGGCTTTGGTTAATAAAGAATTAAGCAATGCCAGTACGTGGTTCATAAAACAGTGTAATTCTTGCAAGCAAAAGCAATTCATTTGCTGCAAGCACTTGTGTAGAGTACAGATATTAAAGACATGAGATGGAAACTAACACAAACAAATTATTAGTAACGTGCAATGTTCTCTTTGAGAAAGTAGATAAAATGAGTAAGCAGATCTAAAAAAACTCAAGAATGTGATCTTGAAACAGTGAGATCTGCCAGGATGTTTTTTGTTGGTAGAAGTAGTTGTATGTTGACATATTGATGAAAGCAGTTTCTATTCTACAAAGAAGTGTTATGGGAATACTGTTGACTTGTACAATGAACATTTTTCTCTCAAGTAGCTGACTGAGCAACATTGCTACGTTATTTTTGCAGCTGTGTTTTCTCAGCTGCATTTTTCTCCTTTTCTGAGAATTTCTTCTGCAAGGCACTAGATAGGTACTATTGTCACCTGAAGCCTTCTGTTTATCTCCTCTATGGGTTCATCAGGAGCACCGTCACATAAAATCTACATTGCGATTTAAATGACTACAAGGAGAAATTAGTACTAGAGGAATGGTAGGGAAGGGGGATGTAATCCGTATGATATTCAGCCTTTAATTTCTTTCCTTAAATGGACAAAAAGTAATTGTTACTGGTAGCAGTTGATATTGTCTGCTTTTCTTTTATTTGCTGATGTGTACAAACATAAATAATTGTGAAAACAGAAGTTAATGTCTTTTGTGTTGTGTGTTTTATGTTCTTCAGGTATTTTTTAACAAAAGTTCAGTTACTGGAACTACTGTATTTATATGGAGTTCATTAAGTTTCCAACATCGTAGCATCACTCTTAATCACTATGTGTTTTTAGTCACCATAGCTGCACATTTAAAAGCTTTTATTCAAATGTGCTTCCTGACCTTAAAACAGACCTTGGCAACACTATGGGCAGCAATAAAATTAGTAGAGCACAATGAAATAAAAGTAATCTAATCACATGCTTCAAGAGGAGCACTAATTTAGTTTTTTTCTCTCTGAACATAGTTGTGTGTGTGTTCCTAATTATCAGGTGCCAGTCTGTGCTGGAGTCATAATATTATACATGATCTGAAGTGATCAAACAAATATAGTGGATTTACTATAGTCCTCTGAATAAACATCATAGTTATGCTTTTGAATCCCTAATAATTCAGGAAGCGAGTGACAAGCGATTCAGAATATTGCTATACTACACAGTGAAGTGCAGAACAGTATTTCATTTATGGTCCTAAACCAGACTAGCAACATTATGACAGCATTGTGACAGAGCTTAGTAAGCCCTATCTCCAAGCAGAACCAATTTGCTCAGGCACAGCACCCACAGATGCAGTTATTGTGCCTAAATATCCAGGAGCAGTTAGGGATTCATTATGTCCCATGCTATTGTGCGGTGCAGACATGACCTCAGTGTCCTTTTATTAATACTGTGAACTCTAGAGCTTTCCCCAACCTGGTGAAAGCAAATAGAATGGCAACATTACAGCACTAAATGAACTTCCAGAACTCCCACTATCTCATTCCACTTTGAAATTAAACCAGTGATCCAGAGAGAGTGTTACTTGTCTGAAATTGTCCTCTTTTTGCTGGAATAAAAAGGTTTCTACTAACAGAAATGCTTTTCCAACTTGTGTTTATTTTAATCAAATCACACCCATATTTATGGGTAAATCAAAAATTTCTTTTATCTTTGATTGCAATGACTGTTTCTAGACCTTGATCCCTATTGTAGCTCCTTCTGAATGTCTTGTTTTTCTTCCAGAAGAAAAACTTAATCTACATTGTGTCTGAGTAAGATGGACCAAAGAAGTGACCTGAAACCAGAGACCTGGTGCCTGACCTCCACACACTATTCTTGATCTCAGTAAGTACTAACAGTTTATCAATCTACTTTGATTTTGAATTATTTATCAATTAGTTAAATTGAAAGTGCAATTCAAACACCAAAATATTTTCAAGTAAAAATTCTGATAAGGTGTTTCCATTAAAAAGAATGTAATTTATTTAGCAATAAAGATTATCTCATTCCTCGTATTATAAAGCTACTACAGGGACAAGGCCTTTACAAGAGCTGAAATTTCTGCTGTCAGTGTAGCTCCTGTCATCCACCAAATGAGAATGGAAAAGGCTAAGAGGTTGTCTTTTATACTGAAGGCATCTGGCAAGATAAGAACTATGTCAAAGAATCCCTGAAGACTAGGAAAAGCCCCTTCCTGAGATGCAGCCCACACTGAGTCAGAGATGGGCCCTACAATGAATTTGTTGAGCAATCTATTTGCTAGGGAGCTAGACAAATACCATAACTAGATATGAGCATTACAATTTAGGGTCTCACCACCAATTCAACAGTAGGGTAGGTCCTTGAATAGTATCTATTAATCTTTTGTAATGAAGAGACAAGTGCTACTGAGGCTGAATGAAGGTTTTTGTCTGAAAAGAGAAAGGAGAAAAATCTCACTGAGGAAGACATCATTTGAGTTACCTTCAGATCCTCTGCAAAAGGCTAATGTGTAATAGAGACAAGCTGTACCTTTGAACTACGTGTTACAAAGTCCCTCCAGCTCATGAAGTCTACAAATCTGCATGCAAAAGATGCCTTTACCTGTTTTGCTAACTGTGTCTCCAGTCTGCTAATCACATCTTCCTTTCTTTGCACTGTAACCATCAGCTCTTGATATTTCCTGTACAGAATGCTGTTTGATTCACTAGTCTTCATGTTAGCTAGTTTTATCTCCTCTCCCATAACTCTGACCTGTAAGGACAATCAGAGGGAGAACAAAAAAAAAAAAAGGCAAATGAAGGAGTTGTTTGTTTAGTGATAAAACCCTTACTCACAATATTTATTATTTCATATTTTTGTAGTCAGAATAGGAAGAAAAAACCTTAAATACTGTTTACAATAAGGATATTGTCCATTTATTTGCACTGCAGAAGGTATAACAGATGGAAACTGAAAAATGAACACAAACACACTGTAAATTGTTACATACTTACATGTAATCGGTCAGAGAGACTGTGCAGGCATGACAGTCTGTAAGATATTTAAGCAAGGTATACCACATTTTCCTCCTTTGCAATACTATGGCCAGTTCTTAACCCCACTGAGCATCAAAGTATACACCAGAACAACTTCTCTCTATGATCTCCAGCTTAAGATACTGTTTTGGTAACTTCTGGCAACTTGATAAGTGTATTTTTACAGACCTGCCTAATTCTTGAGCTCCTGTGAGTGCCAACACTCAGTGATTCTCCTGCTGAGATAAATGATGTAGTGCTCCCTCACTACTGGCAGGTTTCAATGCTTTAAAATTTAGCTGCTGCTGGAGCCTTCTAAATTTTTAATTGATTTTGTAAATTTCACTTTCTTCAAAATCAATCTTTCAATATCCCAGTCTTTTTATGGCTACTTCATCGTAATGCAACGGATTGTAAGTCCTCTATTCTTAAAGTGGATTTCTGCGAGATTAATTCAAATGTTAAATGCAGTATTTAACAACAAGAAGATATCTGACTCCAGTGCATCCCAGACAGACTGTATCTGCGAAATAACCAGTTCCAAGTACTGTTAATTTGTCCTGAGTTTAGAACCACGAAGGCAGAAGATGGGCACTTCATAGGGCCTGTGCAAGTGAGTAACTCATGCTCTGTTGAACATACTGCACCTCTTATTGGCAGCTGCATTTTGTTCTTCTGTCTCTCTATTTTAAGCAGAGAAGCACAATGCCTCTTCCTCATTCTGAGTAAGAAAGGTAGGCATCAATATCTGAGCCAGAAAACTAAACCTGCTGAGTCAGATGTGCTTTCATTAGAGTTTAGGGTGATTATAGGAGGAAAAAAAAAAAAAAAAAAAAAAGGCTCCTTCTTTCTGTATGATGCCCAAATGTTGACTCTGTGCTAAAGGCACAGTGGGGACTGCAAGTATGTGATTTCTTTAATTGAGGTTGGCAGCTTCAGGGAGCCCATTGAATTAACAAATCCAATCCCTCAGAATCCTGGAGTGAAAGAAAACAAGGGATTTTACACTTGATGCAGAGCCCTCTCATTTGTAAGCTGCTTCTCATTCATTAGAAATACATTTGTTAGCTGAAAGGAATGGCCCTACTCCTTATTCTATCGTATCTTCTGGCTGCTAGACAGTAGCAAGGAATGTCTCTAGCAACATTTCTCTATGTGGAGACAAAGGTGCTAGAAAGGCAGACTATATAGTTTTGAAGGTTGCTGGTCTTTGGGACCTACCGTATACAAAGCTGCAGAACCTTCATTTATGTTAGGGTACCTCTTCTACTCCTTCCCAGTCAAGTATTATTTTGCTCATTCTCTGACCTGGATTTGACTTTCCCTACATCTGCTTCTTGGTGTCATTGCATCTTCCTATATCGTGGACACTATTCCTGGTACAGTAACAGTCAACATTACCTTTGTTCATCTGTTTTTGTGTGAACTTACTGATATTACTCTTATGAACAATTCTTGTTCTTGGTTAACAATTGCTGATCTAGCATAGAGGTCAACAGTTTGCAATTAGTATCCTTCCTAAATTTAAGATGGTCAGAATAAAGAAATCCCACCATTAATACAATACTGATGGAGGTTTGCAAAACTATGTTTTATGGATGGAAGTTCTAATTCTGAGGTGGTGTTTTCCTGGTGCTTATAACAGTCTACTCAATCTTTCACTGCCAAAATGCTTGACAGCCATTTCCAACTATCTTGGACAGTTCTTAGTTCTATGCTTTAATCTCTGACTCTATGCTCAGTCCTGCAGTTTTTGACCAGCTGGTTTACTTCAAAGCCTCCCTTTAGCTGTTGCATGCAGTGATGCAGGAGGCCCAAGCCATCTGGCCTTTCCTGGCTTGTGTTACAATACAGTTGTGTTTTACAAAGTGAAGACTATATAATAGTATGCTTTCTTTGTCCACAAGCTGAAGCCTTTCTGTCTCCTTAGCCATTATTCAAGAAACATAGAAGTACTAGCTTAGAAAACACACCTAATTTTCCAATGGATATAGTATAGTGCATCACATCTTGCTCTTCCTGCTTTTCTCTGTCTCATTCAGTGCAATTACTGATGAGAAGAAAGACTAAACTGATCGGTTTTGCAGAGATGCTATGGTTCTTCTGCAGAACATTTCTACTTCTAGACATTTCTCTACCAGTACTGTTGATATATTTGATTTCTAAGGACCTACCAGACAGCTTTATCTTTGCAGTTTAATCCTGAGGTACTACATCCCTTAGCTTTTCCTAAAGTAAGTGTGCCTGTCATAAGTGAGGAGGTAAAGGCTGTAAAGTAGAGTGACATATATAAAGAACTGGTTTTCACTTAATGTGGACACATTTAGGAAGCTGTTCGTAGTTCAGACTCAAAGACCAGGAAATATGACCTGAATATCCATTTAGCGTGGTAAATCAGTGTTCCCTAGTATAGCACAGTGCTATGAGGTGCTGTCTGTGGGGGAGTTTAGAGCAAGTTCCTACTTAGCTTGCACCAGAGCAACATAAGAGAACATCTTACCTGTTTCTCTGCATCCTCAGCTCTTTGCTCTGCTTCTATCACTCTCTGTTCCAATTCTTGCATCTTCAGAGCCAGAAAAGAAGTAAGGAAGAGGAAAAAAGGGGAAAAAAGAAATAATCATCACCTGGGAATTCATTTGCTGGAATTTAAATCTTCCATTCCTTATGTAGATCACAGATTTTTGGTATCTCTTGGGTTAACTGGTCAACTCTGATTCGCAGAAAAAAGCCTTTAACCTTTTCCAGTCATCTGCCCCGGTCTGAATTTACTGGAACTGTTTCCTCATTAGTGAGCTTCATCATTCATTACACGGGTCAAGAAAATAGTCCCAAATTCTTGACCTCATCTCTACAGTTTATGTGCCATAGGCTGTTCCTGCAAGAAGCCTGCCTACAGTTCACAGTTTTTTCCTGTTTCCATTTCATCTCAAATTTATGATGGTGAAGAAAATAATCACACCTTGGAAGTCTCACAGCAGGTTTTCTATTATGTCTCTCTATAACCAATGAATATTTTGGTTAACTTCAGAAGCATCCTAGACTTGTATCTGATAAGATTATGGATGTTCTTTGCTTTCATTTGAAAGAGCTTTGCAAACTCATAGTACTTAATCTGAGCATTGCTTCTATTGAAACGTGATCCTAGAGGTAAACAAATAGCTTTATTACTTGTGAAATACAGATGCACTCAGTGTTCTTCTAACAACTTAACAATAGAGCTTTCTCCCCCACACCTCTGTTTTCATGTGTTTATTTTTAAATAGCAGTAGGATTTCATTTGATGTTTGCAAGGTCATCTTCCATCCTCTCTCTTGTTGGGTCTCAGATTTTAGTCTAGCAATATCATTGTCACTAAGTTTCAGCCATTGAGCTACACTGAATTTTCAGCATTTACTAGTGTTTTACTCATGAAAGAATGAGAGAGAAATAGCTTCAGAAAATCAAAAGAATCATGCCTCAAGCAGGAAACTTGACTACAAGGGAAACTGAGCTTCTCTTTGATACATTTTATGACTCTGGATAGAAGTCAAGGTGGACACTATTAGAACAAGATCAACACTTCTGGAAAGGGAACTTCATTCATCTTGAGTTGATTACCCTGAAGGCAGATGTCAGTATTCCTGTGTTTTCATTTCCCATCCTTTAGATGGCAACAAGACTCCTCTTCATATGTTGATCAAAAGAACAAATTGATACCTACTGAAAAACTTATCAGAATTATATGCACATAGACACATCAGTGATCATGTAACTAAAAGAAGCCATGACAAGGAAATGCACACCATGGAAGTTAGAAAGTGCCACATGTAGTATGCTATCTGATTTTTTTTTTTTTTTTTTTTTCAGTATAGCAGTCAAGGACAGCACAGTTCATGGAGCTTAATCCCTAAGTCATTGATAATCTCCAAATCATTGAGGACGCTTCCTTGGCAGAGGAGAAGAGAGATGCTACAAAAGATTACCCAGACAGCCAGTCGTAGCGAAGACAAAGTGTTTGAGAAAGTTGGTAGAGACTGAGGTCTAGGCAATTAACATTACAGCAGCTGTCTGGGCACAAGCCTTTGTCCATTAGGAGCAGTGGTCTCCCAAGGCATTTTTCTGTCAGTCTTGGAACAGCAATCACCATAGACAGGTAATAGCAAATGTGCCAGCAAAAGACATATGCAAACTGAAAACATAATACTTTAGAAAGTGAAGGCTGTTTCTAACAGTAGCTTATAAGTCAGTTTCTATTAGTTTTTCTCATGGACTGATGGGGGCTACATTCTCAGCACAGTTTAGATGATTCTGTAGACTTTTTCCTAAAGGCTATTCTCTTAGATGAACAACTGGATTCTTCACAATGGGAGATCTCCATGAAAGACTCAAGTTATTTTAAAAAGGCAGCATTGTTCTGGCTGAAAGAAAAATACTTTATTGTCCCAGCCTCAAGCCAGTTTGTTTTCTGTTAGTAGTTGTCCTGGTTCTTGATCAGGATAAAAAGAATTAAGTATGTTGGGACCATTCCTGATCACTAAAGGGTTATGAAACTCTCTTGTGCAAACAAGATGATCTGGCTAAGTTCCAGGCAAATCAATTACATCCTGTCACCCTAATCCCCTCTGTAACCTTAAATGAACTTGCACTTTTCTTAACGTCCTCTACTACGTTGTTGTGTTGCCCTACTATGAACTGTTAAGTAACCGCTGCATTTCTTGTAGACACAGGATGGTTACTTCACCCATCCCTGGTGTCAACTATCTGACTGGAGAACATTAAATTTTAATACATCCATGCTTGTAAGGCTCTTTCAAATCCGTCAGTGAACTAATAGTAATACCTGGTATTTATATGGGTCCTTTCATTCAAAAGGCTTCCTAATTTGACAAATGCTACTAAATAACTTGACCCAGTTCGCATACAAAAAAATTAGCGGCAAAACAAATCCAAGTAACTCTTCTCCCAAACATTAGCTTGTATGAAGAGAGAACAGGCCCAGTTGTACAGCCTTTGTTGCATGAGACAAAAGAGGCTTTTTTAAGTGTTCATTCTTATTGAATTAATACAGAAAGTGGTAAAAGCTAGCCAGATGGCCCTTCTAAAAGCTGCAAAAGAGCCTTCTATTTGCCATTCAGATAGGCTTTCCCTCTCCTGACTGCTCAGACATGCAAAGTAAAACTAAGTAGAAAAAAGTTCATGTATGTTTCAGCCTCAATTTCCTCTTGTTCTCTTCAAGAGCTCACTTGTAATCAGGTCGTTGTGCTGCCAAGACAACAGCTTGCAGTGTCACTCCCCAGCAGAGGAGCCAGAATGGAAATAACTGGCTGATTCCAGAGCCACCGGCCCCCTGCTGATGGCTGCACCAAGTCTGCATCCAGGGCTGTTACGTGCTAGAGGAGTGCAGGAGGACAGCAGAGTGCTGCCTGGGGCAGAGTGCTGCCTGGGGCACTGTGCTGAGGAACCTTGGCATGCTGACCTGCAGCCAGGAGTGAGTCAACCCAAGCAGGGCTGCTGGAAGGCTGAGCCCAGGTTACTGACGTGGCAGCTCACGCCATGTGAGCTGTAGTGCTGGCAGTTAAACTGCTGGGTTTTAAATTCTTGTTCTGAATGGTGATCTAGATTATTTTGTCTAAGCGGATTTTAAGAATCTGAAGGATTTATAATGTTAGCATGCATTGTACAACGAGTGATTTTTTTTTTTATTTAGTTTTTTGAGTTAAAATAGTAAAATATGTCTTTAAGTTCAAAAATTAGTTAAAGAATGATTTAAAGTTGTGAATCAGGTTTCCAAGCCTTCAATCAGTAGCTTTCCCTGAAAAAGCCATGTTTGATTTCATGAAAAAAAAATCCCATTGCTACAAACCATATTAGGGGTTCTCAGGGGCACCACGAGTTGGCATCACAGTTTTAAATGGTGTCCATTTTTCGAGATTCTCTACCTTCTCTCAAAACTCATAAGAAATGCAGTACAATTTCAAAAATGTCTATATTTCTTCATTCTCACAGATGGACCTAATTATAAACAGAATCACAGTTGCTATAGAATATGATAAAAATCTCTGGAATTGGCATTGTAAGGCATAATACATGCATCTTTTTTGGTTTTGCATCACTGCCTATCTGAGTAGAAGGATGCAGTGTGGACAGGAACCTTGACATACTATGGAGCCTGTAGGGAAAAGAAAGAAATCTCTGACGAAGTAATTGCAGAACAGTTGGGAACCTGAGACACAGGAGACTTGCCAACAACTGTGTTCAGTGGGAACATCACGTGCTTGAGCACCTGCTCTAGGTTCTTGAGTCCAACTACGTCAGGAGAGGACATGAGCTGACCCACATTCCCTGGTGCACTACCCTTCCTGTAGGATATTCAGAGTAAGGAATTGCAAGCCTGCTAGCTCTTTGACCCTCCAAGTGAGCCTACCAGGGTGCTGTACAGGTAGTTACAGAGTAACCTGATCACTGAACCAAGCAGATCCTTAATTTTAACAGAGAGAACGTAGTTTTGACCAAATGGATGGATTAATTGTCATAGGGCCCCTTGCTTGAGCAGCCCCACACAGCTGATTACAATTTTGTTCTCTGCTGTGGCTCACAGACATCTCTATACAGACAGTCAGAGAGGTGCCTGGCAAATTTGCTCTTCAAAATATTGATAGATAGGTTTCTCTGTGTTCTGGAGGATAGTCAAGAGTTAAAGCGCATGGCTACTTCTCCTGCATTATGGAGTCTGTGGAGTGCTGCACATCACAGTTGTCATTACCAGACCTGCACCACATCCATACATGATTCTTATACTCTTTCGTCTAAAACAACTTTATGACTACTTTTAACCTTCTCAAAGGCAAACCATATCTAATGTCCACCTCCAAATCTACTTTCAAAAGATGAACAGGGTGCTAGAATTGCATCATTTCTTAAAACAACATGAGAGGTGGAATCGCTGTCTCACATGAAGTATAAAGCATTAGTGGAAATGTAATTAGACTGAGAGCAACAATAAAAATCACTCCCCTCTGAAGTAATTGTCATTTAAAAACATCAAAAACAAAAAACAAACCAGGCAGGCTTAAACACACAGAAGTTACGTAACCCAAAAAGGAGCAAAAGTGAGTTAGAACACATTTATCATCAGGTATAGCTTAAAAGCATTCAGAGTAAACTGCATTCAGTCACAAAGATTTCAGTTTTATTAGCAAAGTGCGACTGAAAGAAATTGTACTCACTTTAACAGCAATTGAATGGCTGAATAATCTTTAACTGGACTGAAATATTGTAAGTCACATTTCGAAACAAGGAACTCCACAGCGTATTACAAACTTGGATAACGTGCAAATTAGAGCTTAATGAAAAAGCTTGAATTCAAATTGAAACGTGAACTATTTTGAGATAAAGAAAATATACACCATGGTGGAAACAAACAGACAAATAAAAATAAATAAACAAAATCCCTACCAGAAATACCCATATCAAAATCTCTAATTGTTGCTAGTCCTCTCCCCTAAGATTGCAGGCAAGTTCATATAAAGCACTTCAAAGAGTTTGGTAGGAGTTGCCTCAAAATGAGATACTTTGCAAGTTTCTAACATTCTGATCTTGAAAAGCATCTCAGTTCTGATCTTCAGCATCTCCAGAATGTTTTGACTGGTTATGCAATATTATTCTAACATTACGGCAATATACATGTACCACTGTCCAGTCTTACAGTATAATTTCTCATCTTATAAGCTTTTCTATTGCCAAACCCACTACTATAATTAGAAGAATCCACCTTTGCTCTGTAGCTGCCTCACACATTAGAGGTCCAGAATCTTGCTACTATGGTGTTTTCCGGTAGTCAGAATATCTGGTGATTTTCCAACGAACAAGTCCAAGCACTTATTTTCACTAACACCATTTTATACCACTGTGGCAACATCCCTGTACCTCAAGAGATAAGAAAAGTGAAATGACTTAGTGTAAATTAGAAAGAGATCCCTACTGCAAGTAGGACTTTTCTTGATGGTTCAGTATTTAGACAATTTTTGCTTTCCTGCTGTAATTCAGAATGAAGCAGAAGTCACCACTCTCACCTTCTCAGCTAACAGCTCTCGGATCTTGCTTGCCTGCAAGCGGAATTTGAAGAGCTGGGACTCCAATGCAAGGCATCGCTTTTGCCAGTCCATACAGCTGCCATTCTCCTCTGTGAGTTCAGCCATTGTGAAGTTATTTGTACACCTGGGATACCTTCTGTGACGCTCTAAAAATCCTAGAGAAAAGAAGGGAAAAAAAACAACATTTTAAAATGGCAACCTTTTCATTCCTTAGGCCTAATCTTCCTCAGTTTAGTCAATAGGACTGGGAACAAAGGTGATTTCTTCCACAAGCAGATTATGAAGTGGTGCTATCCCAAGTTATAGACATGCCCTCGGCCAGAAGTTTCTCTTTATGGCGCTGTCATGGATAAATTGATCATATGACAGTACACCAACTTGCACTGACCTTGTTAATGGTCAGGGTATGGGTAATTATATGAAGTTAGGAGAACTTGCCCTCATCACCCTCTCAGTGGGAAGAGAATGATGGTTTCTAGCTGATGAGCAGGGATGAACTCCAGGGAGCAGTGATATCTTCCACAGATACAGCTGCATTTGGAAGAGGGTGGAAATCTAGAAAATGAAAGAGCAGCACAGCTGCATGCAGCTACAGATGTTACAGATGAGCATACTGAAGCACTTAATCATACAAAGGCAGTCATTAATGGGTAACAGATAAATATTCAAATAAACTTTTACCTTTAGACTGAGTAAATAATTTACTAGTGCATCATACTGTAAATTTCACAAACAGCCATTCTGCCATCCTTACAGCCCTGCTCAGCCTTTTCCTATGGACTAGAAGTGTTTTTCCTCCCACCTTCTTCATACTAGTATGGTTGCAAACTCTCAAGTCAATAAAACTTTTAAAATATAACTCACTGATTACCAATTTGAGACACCAGTGTCTTACATCATGTAGACTATTAAGAGAATGTGACATATGAAGTAACACTGTCCACAAATTGCATCCAATTCTTAGTTAACCTCAAGAATTTCTCTTCCATCTGAAAAAAACAGTGAGCTGTCCTATCAGCTCTCACTCTCAGAATGATTTTTCAAGTCCTGCTCTCTGGAAAATGTAAGGCAATGCACATGCTGCTCAGCACTGACAGCAGAGCTGGACATAAGGCCTCAGGAGGAGCTAGAGATTCTCTGTGCTTTGTAAGATTTATGCTCTCCTTGCCAGCCAGCTGGCATCCAGGTTTTGTCATGTCATAAAATAAACCATTTTAGTCTTGAAGAGCCCTAAGTTTGGGCAGGACTCCTCTCCACCATTTTGGCATATTTGAGGTTGTTGCAATAGGACCTGGCTACAGACAGGAATAAACAAAAAATCAGAAGAAACAAAGCTATGCAACATGGAACCCTGAAAGCTTGTACATTTTCTCATTCAAACACAGACTCGGGTTAAAAATACAAACCTTTACAACACAACCATGCCTCTAATGTTATTGAGCACTGCAGAGAGTAGAAGAGAAAGCCTTGAACATTGGAAGCACTAGACACAGTTACTCAAGACGCATTCAACGAAGATTATTCTTCATCACGTTCCAGTTTTACTCTCCAGGTACACATTTAATGCTGAATTCCAGAAATAAGAGATGGAAAGAACCTACTGGGTTGAATGAAGGCAAATCTTTTAAAGTTAACCATGGTCAAAAACCAGGAATTTGTTTTTTCCTATGTTTACAGCCCTTTCGTATTATTTTCCAATAAATACATTTATAGATTTTTTTTTTTATTTTTTTTTTTTGGCAGCAGAAATATCTGAAAACTATGAATATGAAAAAAGTGAACTCGCATTAGAAACCTGATGTACTCCATGCTTTCAGTCAGACTCTGAAATAATATCAGAAGACCTTATCCAACAAAAAGACCTAGGAAGCAAAAAGCACTACAAGTCCTTATTAACACTTGCTGACTAAAACGAAGCTCGCAGAAGAAGGGAAATGCAAACTGCTGGAAAAGACTGCTTATGAAAAAGATACAAAGAAGTACACACAAAGAATCCATGCACTGAAAGCCTGTTTGCTGCTGCTCAGGCTACCAAGATAAGAAGTTGCAGCTTTTTAAAGCAAAACCTACTTCAGGTTACCTGAGCATCTGCATATACAAGCTTGCAGGAAAAAAGCTAATATTTCCCACTTCCCCCAAAGTGGGGAGGCAAGAATCTCTGGATAGGAGTAAATTCACTTTTGTGGTAGCAGCAGAGTTGACATGAGGATAAAGAATGCAAAGGTGCTACCACAGATGCAGCAGCAGGATCATGAGGTTTATGGGGAAAGGAAAGAATGTGACATGAATTTCCAAGATGCAGATAGGAAAGCATCGGTGCAGCTTTGCGACATGGAACTCTTTTTCCTTCCCTCCCCCCTGCTGCAGCACCATTCAAACCCTCATTTCCTCCATGTCAACAGCAGCAAGAGGAATGGCATATTCCTGCTCACACATGCTGCTGTGATAGATGGTCCATCTCTTCAGCACAGACATGCAAGCAGCTTGTGGTCAATTTACCCAAAGTTCCTTGTCCAGAGACAGCCTGTCTCCATCATCACTGCTGGAAATGACATCACACAAGGAGTCAACAGACTTGAATGCTCTACTATTGTCAGTTCTATTGCTGACCTGTTTATTTCTGTGTTTCATCCTTCCCAGTCTGAGGAAAGGCAATGACAAAAAATCCATTATCTTAAACATTTCATTTTGAACAATTTAAGTTAAGGTTTAGAGCATGCCAAAAGCTCCACCTTTACTATATCTGTTCCTGTGCCACAGAGAGCAGGCTTTAGTGATTACAAGCATCATATGGGTGTCTTCAGACTGAAACATCACATGCAGAGCATTTTGTTTCCACATTTGTTTTACATTACTGTAACAGAACACAGGCAGTGAGAGACAGAAAACACAGTCTCTGTGCTCTGAACATCATTTTTACTGCAGCTTAAATATGTCACTTTAACCAATCTCCACAGCCATCAGACATCATGTGAGGATGACAGACAGTGGAAGATTATATAAACAAACACTTAATTAAAACAAAGAGATAGATCCCAGCTAGGAACAAGCTATGTCTGAAGACAAAACTGAAGATGTTGAAGACATCAAGAGTTGTAACTCCACAAAGTGGAAAAAGCTGTGGTTGTTTAATTTTCTTACTTGGTAACTGTTTAGAAGTTTTATTTTGTTTTAAAATGGGCACAGATTATGCAAGATGTGCACAATCAGAGTGCCTTTAATCAAACTGAGAAGTGGCTGAGCATTCACAGACATTATAATACCAAGTGAATATGTACAGCCCAGCAACAAGCTGTGCAACGCTACAAGAACAAACATTTGCAAAGCCAAAACAGTTATTAGTTCATCAGCTTCATTAAAACAATGAATCTCAAACTTAAAGGGACTTCTCACCTGCTCACAGGCAAACTCAGAACTTCCCTGAACCAGGGCCAAAGCAACAGGCCAAGACTTGGGAAAGAGCAATGAAGTCACTCAGCCTTACTGCTTGTATATCTGACTTGTAGGGTGAGAATGCTTAAGATGTCCCTCTGGTCATATCTGCTCTCCAGCACAGCTGGCTCGTATTTTGCAAGTAGGAGAGCTTGAAGTTACCCCAAGTATATGTAATAGTGCAAGTACACATAACACAGCAGGCCACTTAACTCAGAACAGCAAGCACGTATTTGAATAAAGGAAGACACGTTTTATCCCCTTTAGCTACAAACATTAGCTGTTATTTTGTATACAGTAATTTTGTTCAGTAATAGGAAGTTTTCCAGGCAATGTGCTGGGAGGTGGGAAGAGGGGGCAAGGAACAAATGAACAAAAATTCTAGGAAGGAAAATCAGCATTCTTCAACAAGTACCTGTACAACTTATAGAAATACAGACTTGCCTTTTCCACAGTCCAGCCCAGAAAATCACTAGAATCTCTAGCCCTAGTATCTCTCCAGGCATTTAACTAGGCTTTCACACACTTCACAATAGTGTAGGATTTCAATCTCAATTAGAGGTGTCAGCCAAAAGAAATGCACTAGTTGTGGAAGGATCCTACAGCACTAATTCTTTTTACTGGCACCTCTGTTCTGGATGTAATACTTCAGCTCTCGAATGAATTCTTTTATATGGGCACGAAGATATGTTAGTCTTCATTCATAGAATTTAAGTCCACTGATAGTCAGTGAACCTGATTTACTGCACAGTTTATGTCAGAGCAAAAGTAACTTCCTCAGCTAGACCAAAACTGCTGGCTGAACAAAAATACCCAGATCTAAGTCTGAGACTAGGAGAGGTGTCCCAAGTCTGTAAGACTCATTCCCTCTCACTGGGACAATGGCATCACGTAATCCCTTTTGTAAATAAAAGTAGCCATTCCCTAGAACTGCACAGGCATTTTTGCTCCTGCTATTCCTGTTGTTCTAAAACCTCACCCCTCTAATGAGCCACCTTGTAATTACCAGCATAAATGTAATCATAACTAGCTTGCATCTGTTCATTCTTGCAAAATATTGCCCTTCAGCCTAACTCGTTTCCCCACCACCACCACCCCCTCCCCCTCATATTTGCCCCTTGGTACATTCATAGATAGCAAAAGCTTCTCCTTAGAAAATTCATTTTGCAAGGCCAGAGATAAGGAGCTCTTCCAGTCTTCTAAAAAACTTACCACCCTCCTTCTGCACCTGTTCCAACTTCAGTGCACATAATATAAGAAGTGGCTTTTGTCACATTTTTGTCACATTGCCTTTTTATGACCATACTGCACTGGTGGCCACCATCCACAGACAAGGAAACACTATCAGAGCAGAGGAATTAGAGTTAGCCTTGTCTTCACAACTGCCAGATGTAAGAGTGTGGGGGATCTCATTACAGAGATCCTGGAATAGATTAATAAAGCACAGGTCTGCACCAGATTTCTGCAAGGTCAAGGATCTCTGTACTGCAGTCTATTTCAAATTTTAGCAGGCCCATTTTTATCCTACGATCAATAGGTACATTCACACATTTTCCTCCTCTGCTGTTTCTAACGAATGACCTCCCAGGCTTTCTGTACATTTTGTTACTACAGCTAATGTACAACTTTATTTTGTGCCCTTAGCATTCACTCCATTCTTTACTAAACCCTATTCAACTCTTCCAGTAAAATGCCTTTCAACATCCCCTCTTCAACACAGTTTCACATTCTCTTCCATCATTTCTTTGCACATCTTATCATTCTTCTATCAATGCCCATTTTCTCAACTTCTGCCAATCATTTTCACAAGTGTCACCCTATCAAATGATTTCAGAAGACCAGAGATTGGGTTTAAATCTTCTCTCTAGTAAAAGCCATACCTTTTCAGAGAAATACATCATATCACTCTGGAACAACATCTACCACCTCACACTTATCTTCATCTGCTAAATTACAACTTTCCTTCGAACTTCTGAATTCTCAGTTGCTGTTGAATACACTGCTCCTCCCCACACTGTCTCTGGAACAGAAGCATTCAGTCTGTGCTTTATGAATTACAGTATCAATTTTAATCTAGTAGCAGACTGACATGAAATCCTTTCTATTGAACATGAGAGTTCATATGATTTTTATTTAGTTTTGTTTTGTTTTGTTTTGTTTTGTTTTGTTTTGAGAACTCTTAACCATGTTGATCCACTAAGTTTTTGGATATGATTTTCCTTCAGATGTTGGTAATTTTACAATCAGATAGAGAATTTATACAGTTTTATGAACAATATTTGTAAGGTTATATAAAACTGATTCTACATTTTTTTCCTCTGGCATGTGAAGAAGTCAGGAAACATACTTTCAGGTGCAGTATACTTTCTCTGGGGACATGGGAAACAGAAAGCAGCCACATTGATCAGAAAAGCTGAGATCATCAAAACTTGATTCTTAAATGCAGGCACCTCTTAAAGAGCATCTTCATTTTCAGAGTGTTGAGTGTAAACAACTCATAGTGAAAATAACAGGAGATTTTCAGTTCTTAGAATCTTGCAGGAAACAAACTCAACTGAACCTGAATGCAGATGTGAGACTTCTAGTTCTGACTTCCATATGTAAAAGTTTTGATGATCGTCAGGGACAGCTTTATTGCAAATGCTATAACCAAAAGAAATGCAATTGGATTTACTTTGAGTGCCCAAGGTTTAATCCTGGTGAAGCTAAAATGTCTAGCAGAAAGTAATGATTTCTGTCTCTAGACTGGATTCAATCAATATCCCAGAAGTTCTGAATTCTACATTGGATCCAGCGGCACTTCAGACTTCGTATATTTTCTGAATATACCTGAAAAACCTTCTGAGAATCCAAGGTAACTGATTATGATGAACATTTTCAGATATACAATATATACACGTGTGAAGTGTTTGCAGCTCGTTCAGTCCATGCAAACAGTGAGAGAAGCAAAGCACCATTTCCATATTGTGGATGCAGGTGCTTGGGCAGCTAAGGAAATAGTTTCCTTGGGCTGCCATGGGGAGCCCAGTGCAGAAGGAACATAGTTCTTAGCACTTGCTGGAAAAAAAGCACCAGAATCTGCCTGAACATCAGAGCCAAACCGTGGTCTGCTATCACCTTGGTAGAAAAAGGAATCGTCAGAAACATAACAGAGGTAACACCGAATGGAGAGATTTCCTCCTATGTCGCTGCCCTCGACAGGCAGCAGGCAAAACCCAGCTCTTCTCCTCCTTGTTTTCTGCCACAGCCAACTTCACCCCCACGTTTTTAACCCCGAGGCCACTGGATCTGTTCAGCCACAGACTCTTTTTCCACTAGCTAGAGTGGCTTGGAATGCACAGAGAAAGCACGGTGACATAATGCAGGTAGGGCTTGCTGTACATCGGGAAACGTTTGGCAAAGGGGAAAAAATAAAATCTCTCTCCATGAGCGCAAGGTGGCTCGAACAGAAATGTCACAAGATAGGAAGAGGGCTCACGGTTCTAGCATTCTGCTGCCGAGACCTCGCCCTGGACACCGGGGCTTACCATAACGCCCGAGCAGACGGCAGGACGCAGGTATAGCTGATCTCGGGGCTGCATCTCCCTCCAGAGCCGCCGTTCCTGACCGCAACCCCGCTCCGCCCAACTGCAAGCGGGCAGCTCCACCAGCTCCGCACGGACCGACCCGCTGGACCTCCACCGCCCTCTCCCCACCCGAGGGCTGCCCTGCGGCAGCGACGGGGCCCAGGCTGCTCCTTCCCGAGCTCACCTTGCACCTCGCTCGAGCACAGGGCAGCGGCGGGGCCGCCGTCGGGTGCAGGCAGGTGCCCGACGCGACTTCTGTCCCATTCAGCACTTCGCCGTTCTCCTTCGAGCGGGAGAGACCGGCTCAAATATCAGAGCCAGCCCTCCAGAGGAGCGCAGGAACTGACATCACCCGCCACGGGCTTTAACCCCTTCTCGGGTTCGGCGGTGGGGCAGGTGGGACGGGCAGCCTGCCGCGGGGGACGGGGCGGACCCGGGGAGAGGAGCGGCAGCCGCGCTCTGCTCCTGACGGGACCGACCGCCCTTTCCACTACCCTCGGGAGCTGCCGCTGAGATAGAATGTGCTGAGAGCGTGCCGGTACCGGCGGGGCATCCCGGGCCAGGCTCCGCACGGCCGTCCCCTCGGGGCTGCCCCGGCTGGACGGCCATCTTGTTGTGCCGTAGGACAACGGCAAAAGTTGCTGGAACCCACCCAGGACAGAGCTCCTGGCGGCTGCGAGCGCCCTCGTCGGCACCTGGGATTCCCCTTGTAGTCATCTGCTTTCAAAGCCAGTACTCCCAAACCAGCCGCAGCCCCGAGGCGTAGCAGTGTTTTGTGGGCGAGTTGAGCCCCGTCTCCCACTGCTGCTCTAAGCTCCTCCACGCAGCGGTGGCCAAGAGGTGTGCTGGCACCGAGGCCACCGCAGCGCCTTACTGTCCTCCTCTGCTGCATGGCCGAGTCTCCAGCCGGAGCCCCTCCATGAGCCGCAGGCATCCCCAGGGCATGGGTTCATGCTGGGAGAGATGAAAACCAACTAAGTGTTCTGAAAGCTCTCCTGGCCAGTGGATGCTATCCTCCCCATGTACTTGGGCCACTTCACATATGATGGCACAAACACACTGGCCTGCAGCTATTAGCATTTCTATTGGGAGCTGGCAGCGCACAGAATATTCTCTTCAAGGTTCAGGACATCACTTAGTGAGCTGCTTTACCCACAGCATGCACTCATGTGAGTACATATTGACATATGTGAATACATATACCTGTTACATCAAGCTGGCAAACTGGCTGCTGGGGAATGCCAGTTGCTGCCTGTTGCTGCCCTCTGCTATACACTGCACATTGCCTCTTCTCCCCAGAACTGGCATAACTGAACAAATCCTTAAGTGCAGCTACCTGGCTTACAGGTATCGCCTGGTCCAAGATCTGCTGCTTATTAAAGTGTTTAGGTTAGATATTAGGAAGAAGTTTTTCACACAGAGGGTGGTGATGCACTGGAACAGGTTGCCCAAGGAGGCTGTGGATGCCCCATCCCTGGAGGCATTCAAAGCCAAGCTGACTGTGGCTCTAGGCAGCCTGGTCTGGTGGTTGGTGACCCTGCACATAACAGGGGAGTTGAAATTAGATGATCATTGTGGTCCTTTTCAACCCAGGCTATTCTGTGATTCTATGATTCTACAAGATTTGCTGAAGACAACTGGTAGTATGTTTTCTCTGGTGTCTCAGCAGAAGACTAGTGAATCTAATGAAGGCTGGTGAATCTCTTACTATGACTGAACAAAAACACTTATGTGACTATGTGATCAAAGTCTCAAAATATAACTAAAACCATTAGGTCTAGATTTGGACACTGAAGTGACTGAAGGCAGACTCTGAAATCTATGCCTCATTATTCAAATAGACAGTCAGATTTCCAAAGACTCTGTGGACCTTGTGGTTCTCTCAAGATTGTCTTGCTTTGATTTCTCATCCGTTTCCAGTTTCTCAGGGTTTTGGCTGAATGCAGCTGCCTGTTTCTTTCTAGCTACTAGACAAAGCGTGCATTTCTGAGCTGGTTCAGGCAGAGAGTGGGATAGAACTACACAGAGATGGCCAGTGAGCCAAGAGGAAACAGGGATAAGGCTGAAAAGAAACAGGCATCTGGCAAGAAGTTCTTCCATTTGGCCAGCTGAGCAGGGACAAGCAGGAATATAAGATGAAATGGCTGTTGTGACAGTAGATTTCTCCAGCAATTTGCAGCACAAGGAACTCCAATTGCCTGCAATCTGTATGTTTCATGCACACCTGTATTGATTGGTACTCCTAGTGAATAAGGAGTTGTAATAAATAACCAGAATCAATGTGTCTTGAGGCTCCCTACAGGTGTTTCAGCAGCACAAAAGGTAGCTTCGTGCTTCACAAAGTTTTCTTCTGAACTGAGACTGGCCAAAGACAAAATGGGAAAAGGAGTTATTTCCTTCATCCTTTCTATACAGTTTCTGATTTCTTTTGGCCACAGCATGCAACCGCAATGTTCCTTACTCTGAATTTTATGAAGTATTCTTATTCTTCCTTTGAAATTACTGGTCAAATTCTCTCCTTTGCACCAGTAAAGCCAACATGACCGTATCACTAGCTAAAACATCTGGCCTTGTGTTTTTCCCAGGCATTGAAGCTTGACTGCCAGGACATTCCTCAGCCACTGAACTTTACACAAAGTACCTCCCCAAGAGCTGCCTGCACACACCTTACTTTAACCCCTGGAGGCCCAGAACCACATCAGCTCTCACAGAACCACATGCTTTCCTTCCTTTAATGCAGATATTCTATAAAGCTATACTTCTTTATAGCTGCTGACCCTCCAATTAAATAATTTTACACAATAATTATTAAAAAAAAAAAGGTGCTTTCTGCAATATAATGCAGATAGAAAAATTGTTTTAACTTTAGAAGGAGGACATCATAAGAACAGCCAGTAATAAGGCACAGTTCCCAAGGGACTTCCCTTGGCAGTTATCTTTAATATGTCTGCTCCAGCATTCTATGTCAGTTTTCATAATTTGCAGACAAATCGTTCAGCAAAAAACCAAAAATTTACTATAAACAGCAAGTATCTTATTGACAAAACAAACTCCCCAGCAGTTCCAAGAGAACTAGCTTGGCACTGTTAGACTATTGTTATCTCAACACAGGCAGACTGCTTTGTTAAGAGCACCTTATCTGAGATGCCTAAATAGAAGGGCAAGAAGATACAAGAGAACAAGGTGTCAGTAGATGAGAGCAGAAAAACCCTAGAAGGCAAAGTTGTTGCAATCCTGCAGATGGGAGAGAAAATAATGTTCCAGACATGGCACTGCTGAAAACTTACCAAAGGGGCAGGAACTCCAATCAGACCCAGTCTGTGTGTGATAGCCCCACTGAGGACTCAGTCCAGTGTGGGAAAAAAACTTGTTCAGTAACAAGATACTGCCTTGAAACATCTATTTGAGGTAATTGTCTCTCTCCAACGAGAACTTAGGCTTTCTAAATTCCAACCAACTTGTTATTTGGGGGCTTAAAGAAGTTAAAAATGGCCTTTGTGCTCTTCTCATGCTCTGTTTCTTGTGGGCTTGCAGTGTGCTGACAGATGCAACACAGACTTGCAAACTCCTGCCTTGCTTATCTTCTAATTAGCAAAGACAAGTCCATGCAGCAGAAAATAAGAGACAGGCAGCTGTGGATCACCGCACTGCATAAACCAGTTGCTTGTGGGAGGACCCAGTGAGAATGCCAGGAAGACATTGCCCCCCAGTAGGTACTATATCAGCTGGGTTTGATTGTATTATGGTCATTTTGTCACACATGACACACGGGACATAAATGTCCTTGTGTGTTCTAGTCACACTAGATCACCTGCTTGAGCAAGAGTGTATGTCTTGTATGCACAGTCTTGACTGGCAGAGAGCAAAACAAATGAGAATTCCCATTATCCTCAGGGAGTCAGTCCAGGGGGAACTCCAGTATTACTACCAGCACTAATAGGTTATGCCTTGTTTCGTCTCTATATTTCTCCTATTTCAGCCTCCAAGTATCAGATTTCATTAGATCTTTTTCCTGTTAGATTAAGAAGACATCAACTATCATATATAGACTGTGACAGAACAAACAATCAAACAACAATCCCAAATAAACAAAAACCCAAACAACAAACCCTTTCTCTTCTATAAAACACAAACTTAAAATCTTCATAAAAATTGTTTTCTTTTGCCTATATCCTCATAGTTTGATCTAGATCGTAGATTAAACAGCTGGAACTTAAGTAAATGTGAGGTTGTTGTCAGCATGCTTGTGTGTCTGTGTCAAATTGCTGTCGTGGAGGGGAGAAGAAAGGGGAACAGCACATGGGAGTCCTCAGGCTGTGGAGGAGGAAAGCAGTTATTACAAGTATATTTGTTTTGTGTGGACCTTCTGTGTCAGGCATTGGATGATGCAGAGCCCAATAGGTTCTCACAAACAACAGTGCTCTTTGAATCTTTTTCAGAGTCCACATGCTATAGAATTAAATGCTGTGCTAGTGATGCCATACATTATGTATCTCACAAGGAAACTGTATCAAGCCCAGATGCTGCAACTAATCAGAGCTTGCTCAACAGCACTTAACAAAACTGAATGCTGCTGCCCCAGGGATGGGAGTCCTAAATGCTCCTGCCAATGAGAAGGAGGCATAGAAAGAAGGGGGAATGGAGATGGAACGAGATGCTGGGGAGAATAAGAAAAGTTGGACCTGCTACTCCCACGGCCCCAGTGATGTGGTGATGGTCACAGTTCTGCCGCTGCAAAAGGGAGTATTTATCCCTTGACCTCTACTTCCAGAAGCAGCAGCAGGTCTGCCAACCCAGGAGTGCAGCAAAGGCAAAGTAGGCAGTAGTCAATGACTATTTTGATTCTCCAGGTTTCCTGTGAAATGCCAGACTGGTTCTGGAAGCACGGTGCAAAAAGCTACACTAGAGAAAAACTCAAACCTTGTTGGGAAAAGAGTACAGGTTTGCACTTGGGCCAAGTATTAGAAATAAAATACTGCTACCCTCTGACAAGCAGCAGCAGAGATGGCTTTATGGTCAAACTAGTGGTCTCAGCCCAATTCTTAAATATCAGATCTCTGTAGGAAACATTCACTAAGGCTGAGCACTGAAGAGGCTCAGCCCTAGTGTGTGAAGTAGTGTGTGTTGCAGTCACTGGACAGCAAAGCTCCACTGTATTGCAAATAACTCCACTACTAATATGGTTGATCACAGCTCATCATCCATTTCAACATGGCAAACAGCTTCTCAACACATTCAGACAGGATCATGAGGAGTGAATTGATGTCTGAACCCCATTGGTGCTGTGAGAAGAGTTGCAGTTGGATGGGAGAGAGTTAGCTAGGCCACGTAGAATCCTTGTCCTTGCCACATCTGTGTGGCAGCACTGGATGGAAATTCCATTTCAGTATTGTTAAATTAATACTTTATGTTAGGAGGAAAGTAGGTCCCAGCTCACTTTCCTTTTGGGTGCAGATCTGAGAACTCTGGCACAGACACCTGGGGCAGCTCTGTGGCCAAAGCAGGAGATGCTACACAGAGCATGACAGAAGATTCCTGCCTGTCCAAAACTGGTTTACTGGCTGAGAGTGGGGCAAAGAAGACACTAGTAAGAGATGGAGCTAGTCTGTGGGAAGGGTTTGGCTGCCTTCCCAGTCTGGCACTGAAGTCAAGCCTACAGCTGCCAGATGTCAGGATGGGGTGTGGAGAGGAACGTGGTTCCCCTCTGTAGGACTCCTACTTGAAAGAGCCTCTGCTGCTGAACCAGTGGGCAGGCTGTTCTACAGCAAGTGCAGGAGGGAGGCTACATTTCTGGAAAGGTTTTTGGCTCCTTTCCTGGTCTCACACTGGAGCCAGGCACACAGTTCCCAGATGTTTGTGATCTCTGCTCTGGGATCTTTCAGACTTGTCAAGAAGTTGTGTAAAAGGAGGAAATATTTCACTCCTATGCAGAGGGCGGATATGCCAAGAGTCCCCATGGAAGTCCCTCCGCCTGCTTCTCCTAGAAGGGGTCACCCACAGGTGAGCAGCCTTGGAAAATGCTTCACCTCTCAGCAGGCAAGATCTTCAGACAAAGTGCTCTGACAGCAGCAGTTGCTGAGTCTCCCTGGCATGGCTCTGTTCCTGACAGTTTCCATGGTGATTTGCAAAAACAGCAGAAAAGCACTGATCTCTTTTGGAAGGCAAATAATAGGATGTGATAGTGCTTGTGGCTGTGGAGGGAGGGACAACTCTGCCTTTATGCTGTTAACTGAGCGCCTCAGGGTCAATCCTGGGGCTTACCCCACCAAATTGGAAGGAAAATCATTGCTGTACCATTCCCAAAGGGTGAGTAGCAGCTCAAAGCAATAACTCCCGCTTACAAGCTGCCATAGGCAGGTTCAAATGATATTTGAG